TTAAGGAAAGAAAGAAGGGCCGGCTCTGGCCACTCAAACCCATCCAGCATGAGAGGCAGGAGTGGACACTCCAGTTGAGTTTCAGGAGGAAATCTGCCCAGGCCATTCCCGCCATATCACCTGAAAAGTGGATTGGTACAAGGCATAGAATCTTCCATGTCCTCTTCTGTCAGAGTCTTGTTTTCTGAGTCAGAAGAGCTGGGAGCAACGTCCTTTGCTTGTACCATGCAGTGCTGAGGGTCACTCGTTACACTATGAACATCTATATGCTAAACCTGGCAACTTTCCAGAAAGCCGAGTCTCAGAAAGGCCAATTGGCCCCAGGACACGTAGCCAGTAGTATCTGGACTAGCGTCCAGGTTTTCTGATTTCTGTTCCAATGTTCTTTCATGTGATACCGACTTGATGTGATTTTTGTTTAAGTCATACTTCAGCCTTGGAAAGCCAGAATGGGTAGAAATGATATTCCTCTTTATTGAACTGGAAAATTGAATAACACATTTATACAGAAAAAATTGGCACTAGATGTTAGGTCTTTTCATCTGTGAGGATCTGCATTTCAGATTAAAACCAACTTGGAGATGGGTGCGCCAAGTTGCCCCAGGATGGTTTAGGTGGGGGAATAATGGCCAGGGAAAACCAGAAACTGCCTCAGGGCACATTCTAGTTTTTGAACAGAAAAGTACAACTTCCTGTGCCTCAGTTCCCACTGTTAAAAATGACACGCAGGGTAATACAGAGTTGTTGAATTGGCACAGTAATGCGTTTCGGTTTGGGATGATGAAGAATTTCTGGAAACGGACAGTGATGGCTGCCCAGCACTGCGAAAGTACTTAATGCCACTGAATCACATATTTAAAAATGGTTAAAATGGCAAATTTTATGTGTATTTATTTTACTACAATAAAAAAATAAATGACGGGGATGAGGTTAACCAAAGGTTTCCAAGGTTCTGTTGACTCCAAAAGTCTGTAATTCTTACTCTAATTGGACATTTCCTCCAAAATTAACCTGACCTTTCCAAGTACTTTCTCTCTGTCATCTTTCAGAGCTTTCTCTCACAAGATCCCAGCCCTATTCTCAACTCCCTGAGCTAAGTATCTGGCAGCTGGGGTATGGCAGCTGGGGGGTAATGTCTGCACTGAGACTGTGTGGTGGCCGAGGCGGGAGTGTGCTGAATGGCCAGAGCAGAGATAGTCTTTTTGGAATTATGACAAGTTCTTACTCTGATGGATTGAGCTCTGACACAAGTCACACTGCGTTTTTTTTTTTTTAGTTAACGTGAGCATAATTATGGACTTAATGGAAAAGGTGGACTGAGAATACTTTATCTTAGAAGACAGAGGCCCAAGTCTGAGAGGTTGGTTCAGGTTTTTCAATCCCACTGTGTGCTGCTGGAGTTGGGGGGCAGATGCAAAAAGGCATTAACAGTTTTGGGAGGACCTTTCAGAGGTGGGGACCTGCTGAGCCTTGCTCCTAAGGAAAATCTGCTACAGTCCAGAAAGAATCCACACTTTTAAGAATGGTCATTGGCTAAAAGTGAGTAGATGCTGATGCTGGACATCGGAGCCCTGGCTCCAGCCTGGGGCGGGGGCAGGGCTGAGGAAGCTGGCAGGTGGCTGTGTGGTTCTCTGCTTGGTAATAGGCAATCAGCAGTCTAAGCTGTCCCGGAAAAAGTGAATATTAACTTGTTCCCCAGGCACCCTAGTGTTTCATTTTCAGCTTGATTTGGCTTTTCCTCCATGTAGAAACACTTCTCTCATATAATGGACCTACCTCCTTCACTCACAACTCCAAAGTTAATCAGTACAAGGTAAAGTAAAAAAAGATGAACTATGGACAGACATTCTGGACTTTCAGAGCAGTTCTCCAAGAGGAGTAGTCACAGATGGGCAGGAGGCTAGGCCATGAGGGCATGGCATTGACCTAGAGCTAACCCTGCAGTGCCTGGAAGTGGGCAGTGGGGGCTGTACTTGGTAATATTCACAAGCAGGGGAAGGAAAAGAATGTAAACAGTAGAGGACAATTACCTCCCTTTACATAATTGGATGTTATTGGAAAGCTCTGTAAATCAGATTCCTAGGATTCATGGTACTTTATCTTCCTCTTAATTAGCTTTCAAAGATGTGCCTATATATCTCCCTAAAACACTATGGTGGAACATATGCCAGCCCTGAGCATAGAAAGCAGCCAGTGTGTAAGCAAAGACCCCAAAAAACTGGTCTGGAAGGAAACTGAGAAAAAGTAGTATCATTCCTGTGGAGGCAGGAGGCCAAAGCCTATTCACAGTGAGGACTTGCATGCTGGCATCAGGTCAAGGGCAGGTAGGATCTAGCTTTTGGAGACCTAGCACAGAGCAGACACACAGGGCACATGGTGCCAGGATGTCTGCTGGTGCCAGGAACAAGGCTGTTGGCACAGGCTTCAGCTCAGGAAGGACACAGGACACGCTCCAAAACAAAATACCTATTGCAGCGCCAAGTTCAGAAGACAAAGGTGAGGTTGGGCGTCAGCCTTAGTCCAGGAATGGTGCACCAAATAATCAGCTGAGCAGCAGGAGGCCTGTCCACCTGTATTTCAAGCTGAGTCTTTAAGGTGTAGCTCTCTTTAGGACTCACTCCTGGCCAGCCATTTTCTTCTTCTGCAATATACATTGCCATCAGGTACTCCCTACATTTTGCTTGAGAAAATTCTCATGTTGACTTTCTATATTTGTTATTTGTGTCTGAAAATACTAGCAGTGCCAAGATGCCTGCTTTCCCTCTGCACCTGCTCACATGCTCGCAATTCATTTCAAGCTGGCGGTGCATTCAGAGAGGCCAAGAAGCTTGGAAGGGTTCCTGTAGAGCATATGAGGGCTGCATGTGCACCCAGTATGGAGACCTTGGATTAGCCAGGTTATTTGCAGCTTCCAGGCACATGCTTCCTTGAGGGTACTGCTTAAATGAAATTTCTATCTAACGGAAACTTCGTGGCTCAACCATCAGACTTGTGAATTTTATGCATCAACATAAGTTTTGGCTTCCCCTCTGTTCAGCACGAACATGCTAATGTCTTGGCTTATGTACCTGTTAGCACCTTCTACGGACCCATCTCGCTCAGCCTGCACAAAGGACTACCGTGTTTCCCTGAAAATAGGACCTACCCAAAAAGTAACCCTAGCAGGACTTCTATGCATTTGTTAAACATAAGCCCTACCCCAATAATAAGACCTAGTGATGGGCATTGCTATGCAGCGTATCTGCATAGCCACACCATGCATTTTGGCACAGAGAGGAAGACATCCCCTGAAAATAAGCCCTAGTGTGTCTTCTTGAGAAAGAAATAAATATAAGACAGTGTCTTAACTTTCGGGGAAACATGGTAAAAGTCTTTGGTAAAAAAGAACCTTACAGATGTGTTCAATTTACAAAGCAGGGGAATGAGAGAGAGAGAGAAAACGTGCATGCTTTTTCTTAATGCAGAATGGCACATCAGATCACAACAGTTAACTTAGCATGCACCACTGACTTGGTCCCACATACATCTGTGCCTACTTCTTCCTTGCCAGAGTGGGAAAGTCACTATTATTCTCCAGTCCATGAGAGTTGGACAGGGTCCCAAACCATCTTCTGGAACACAGATACCTGGTCTTTCCCTTGTCTCTGTCTGGCCTTCCTCTACATGCTACATGCAACTAACATCTATAATACCTGCCAGCAATACTTTGGTCTGGAGATCTGGTGCCACCTGGCATACAAGCTGACAGGTGTGGGCTCCATGGGAGCAGGTGCCTAGATGATGAAATACAAGGAAAGCAAAGCCCCAGATCTCCCCTGACTCTCTTGGTCTCTAAGACATTCAGGTTACAAAGGCCACATGCACTTCCTTCCTCAGTGGAGCATTGTACTGACCCACATCTGCAGATGTAGCTCTGTGGCAACACCCACATCCACAGGGGACCATTTCATCTTGGCAGAACTCCCATTTTCAACCACTTGCCTTGGCTTCATTCTACTCAGCTGGCTTCTTCCACAGCCGACTTACCCGTTCTTATGCCCCACAGTCTCTTGCGGCTTTTGTGTAGTTGTTCTAATATGGTGGTGGACTTCTTTGGTATTAGGTCAAATTAGAACAGGAATAAAAGCCCATCTAATTAAGCGAAAGGCTTCAGGGTATATAAAGATTTTAAAAAACCACCCCCCTATTTTATACTTAGAAGAAACCAATAAACTGAGGATAGAGGCACAGATTTGGAGAAAAGCATTACAACTTACTGTAAAAGGTAAAGTGGTAAGGAAAGCCAGTCCTACAATTACTCTAATTGTCTAGGGTTTATAAATTTACGATGGCTGTCCCTCAGTGCCAACCCACCCAAGAGTCGTGTTCTTATAACCCAGCAGACTAGAAGTTGGAAGTGGAATAGATATTCTTGCTGGTAGAGGTGTTGATCCTGCTCCCACATCCCTGGGAACCTGGAGTGTGAGAAAGGCCCCTCATATGGTGTTTTGGTCTCCCCATCTTTATAGAGCCCCCTGCCACATCTCCAGGAGGAAAGCTGTCCCAGGGCTTCTTTCTTTCACACAGGGACCAGGGCTGGGCAGGAGTGTTCCATTTGTCCCTCATTTGCTCAGCTATGCCAGGTCACCCACAAACCACACTTAAACCATTGTCTTGCTAGAGCATTCAGGAAGGAATAGATCCCAGTACAACATGAAGAGCAGAAAGGGGGAAAGAAAAAGAGGAAGAAGGGGGAAAACAAAGCAGGGAGAAACTAAACACCAAATGAGTTCTTGTATCTTAGCTGAACCCAACCACTATTTGTAGTGCTGTTTACCGTGAACAAGTGTGTTCTAAGTTTCAAATAAGGAAATCGCATATTTTCTACATAAAGCCAAACCAGCCAAAGAAGAAATATTAAGTAAGCATTCCAGAGAGCTAAAAGTTTTTGTTTTTAAGAAGATATCTAGGTAGCGCTTTCTACCAAAATCAGCTGAATTAAGTTGTTTCTTCTTTCCTAATATGAAATGGGTAACGTGCCTATGTTGTGATTAGATGTGAAGGAGCCCCATCTCACATGCGCACGTGAAAACCCAATCATCATGCTTATGGACTACAAAAGGACCAGTTTTTTGTCTCTTTTTCAGTTGGGATGCAACATCTGGAGATGCCCCAACATCACAATTTATCCTGGCAGGGCTGGTCACTTTAACAAGGTCGCTGTTACAGAACACATAAAATAAAGCAATCAGTGTAGGAAATAGGACAATAGCTGCTTCTACCTCCATGCTAGTATTAGGGTCAAGATCATCACACTCTGATTCCTCGGAACTGTTGGTCTCCTTGATTGGCAGCATGAGGAAGGAGGAAGAAAAAGAACACAGTTAGAACACAAGTAGCTTTTGCTAGAGAGAGAGAGAACTTCAGAGAAGCATGAGTGACGGGAAACTGGGCAGAGAAAAAACCGGGTGACTCTAAGGTGGGGGTGTGAATCTCCAAGGACAGCAGCATGCTCTTATTGGGGAGAGGAGGCTGAGCTGTGTGTAGCTGCTCATCTCACAGGAAACACAACGAAGCAACCAATGAGGCATGAGTGCTGTAGAATTGAAACTGTTTCTTCTGTGAGGCTGGACTGCCTGGATGAGCATGACAGAGAGCGGACGTACGATTTCTTTTCCCCAAGAAGGACGTTAGAATGGATTTTAATTGTTCTTACTTTGCTCAGGAAGGAAAAAAGTGCCAGGTAGATAATCATACATTACGACACAATTAAATAATCTGTGTCTAATTCCTATCATCCGGAGGCAGATCTTTTCAGAGAGCCCAATTTAAAGAAAGCAGATGATAACGTTTCACGCTGGGGGAAATGAGGGTCTGCCAAGCTTAGAATTAGTGAGTTCACGGTAGTAGGCCGACTGCTATCAGGAAATAAAACATGGAGTTCACCAGTGTGCCTCCCCACCACCTATGCATAGGCGGAGGCCAATAAAATGGCCTAGAATTGATGTCCTCTGAACTCTGGGGAAAAGAAATGAAACTTTACTAAGGACACAGTGGCCCTTAAATTCCAAACTTCAGCCTTCACAGGGTTGGGGGTTTGAAAGGTATCTCTAATCCCTTTAATCTCTGTGTAGACTCAAACCCAGGATGCTAAAAAGGGCAGCTTTGAGAAATTTGATATGAATCGAGCATCTTGCATTTCTAAGAGAATAATGTTGCAGATAATTTTGCTATAAAACATCTGCACAGTATAAAGAGAAAGGTATGAAAGAAAAAAAAGAGGTACTTACTTGAATTGAAGTTGCCAGGAGAAATAAAAAATAAAAAATAAATTGATCTTGCATGCAAAATCCTGCTAAACTACTTCCCCTTTTGTTCCCACACTGGGAGGGACTGGGGTGTGGTGGGAAATCCCCATCCACCCAAATTGCCTTGTGAGATGCTGTAGGGTGGGAGTAGATGAGAGGTGGGGACACGGCTCCAGAATACCTTACTCACTTTAACAGAGACTTTGTTGCCCAGAATATCCTTGGGTTTACGAGGCCCTGTGGCTTCATTTTTACCCGTGTTCTCCACTTCCGCCCGCTTTCTCATGCGTAGAGTATGCCATGAACATGACTTCCTGTTGTACCAAAAAATGCACCAATCAAAATGGCAGGTCAGGGCAGAGTGAGGTGGTGCACAGGCTCACCACCTTCAGGCGAGTGGGCAGGTGAGGTGCTCGGTCAAGCCCAGGCTTCAGAGTCCCCAAACCTGCATGCCTGCTCCTGGTGGCTGGAAGCTGACTGCACCTCCTACTGGAATTGAGCAAGGATGAACTCTGACCCATTCTGGTATTTTGTAAAGTTGACTGTAGCATTTGAAGAAACTAGGAGTGGTCAGTTGCCAAACTCTATCATGGAAGGCTTTTTACCTTATGAATGATGCCTTATAGGACTGAGGACACCTCCTTGTGTGGGGCATGGCAGGTGGGGAAGGAATGGGGGTGAGAATAGGAAAGACAATGGAAAGATATAATATAGTGCATACACTACTGACAGTTTCCCAGGACCAGATACAAAGACCCAAAAGATAATTTTGAGCTTTCCATCTCATTATTTGTATTTGGGCACAGCCACTTCCAAACTCCATGAAAGAGAAAGGATCTTCTGGGGCATTCTGGGCACCACTCAGTTATCTGGATACTTTAGGGCAGGGGTCCTTAAACTTTTTAAACAGGAGGCCAGTTCACTGTCCCTCAGACCATTGGAGGGCTGGACTGTGGGCCCTGGGATGATTTGGCTGCTAAGCAGGACAGGCAGCAGCGGCAAAAACACCCAGTGGGCCGGATAAATGTCCTAGGTGGGCTGCAGTTTGAGGACACCTGCTTTAGGGTAAAGGGTTTCTCCATCTTTTCTCCACATCACTGTTTGTGAACACAGGGCTTTGTCAGTCACTAAGAGATCCTGGAGTTTCCCTGTCAGGACAGAACCCAATGTGTGCTCCTGGAGACAGGAGAGTAGCAGTGACCTTTCACAAACCCTGACTTGGTTCTTCCCAAAAGGGGGTTGGGAGCTAGGCTACGTTGTCGTAGGCCTGTAAAGAGAAGCCCGGAGCAGAGTTCTTTAGTTCTGCAAATATTAGGACTTAAAGACATCAAAATCCAAGTCACAAATAACATCAGTGACCCTGAGCAGGTATCATCTCAGGTGTGGTCACAGAATTTGGATGAAGTTTAAACACTGTCTAATTGAGACCTAACTTCCCTTAAGTGTCTCCTTGTCAAATGTAAGTCTGTGTAGGAAGGGCTTCATGAAAAGAGCCACAATTAAGAGAGAAAGGCACAGGAGATCTAGGACAAAGGAAGGTACTCAAAATACAGTAGAACCTCTGTAGCTGACCACCTCCCTACGCTGACCACCTCCTTAAGTTGACCTAATTTTCAGACACTGGCCATGTACCACATGTATATATCAGTATAGCAGGCCTAGTTCCTTATGTTGACTATCTCTGTAGGTGGACCAGTTTGTTCAGCCCCTGGGGTGGTCAACTTGCAGAGGTTCTACTATATGTAGTATTTCTTCCACAACATCAAATATACATCAGGCCTTTAAGGACACACTGAGGAAGGTGCTCCAAAAATACTTATCGCCTAAGACACAGGGTCAGCAATTAACCTTCTGAGTAGGAAAAAGCAATCACAGTCATGCTCTTGAATCTTTTGGGAAAGTGGGCTATTTATAAAAACCAGACCTTCTCTTATACCTCCTAACTAGGCAGGCTCTCCATGATCTCCTATACCAGCACCTTGCTCCAACCATGAAAACCAGCCATGGAGTCTTAGATATTACCCTGTTATCTTCAGACTTTCATATTTTTACCCCTAATTCCATATCTCTGGCTCCTTCTGAGAACATCTTGAATTAGTGAGGTCCCTGCTGAAGAGACGCCCAGGGCAGGCAGCACAAGGTGTGTGTGTCCACGTGGGGGTGTATTCCTAAGTTTATCATAACTCTCTGGGTTATTCAGTACACTTGGTGAGTAACTAGAAATGTTAAAAATAATGCTCAGAAGGAAGACTCAGTGTAAAAGTGACAGGACAGGCTCAGTTTCATACTCTTCTTCTCAAAAGAACTTGTCATCATGGTTTGGGGAGCTTTCGTCTCTGGTGGCAAGCCTGGGGCCTGATGTGGACACAGGGTCTCAGGGATATTTATCCTGGAGCATTGCAACCAACTCTGACCCTTGTGGTCACAGCAGGCCCTGGGGAGGGTGTTGTGAGTGTCCTTCCCTGATAAACACTGACAACCGCTTTCAGTCAATTGTTCCCCTTCCACTCGCCCTCAGCCCTTGTGCAAGAGCAGCTGATAAGAAACCAAAATGGCCAATTTGTATTTCAGTCTGTTCTTTTTCACCCAGCATTGCACCCTTTCTACCTTCCCTCCCATGGAAGAAATAAGTAAGTGGCCAACAGAATCAAAGAGGAGGAAGAAGTGCTTCATGCCTGGCTATTTATTTATTTATTTATTTTGAGACAGTCTCACTATGTCGCCCTGGGTAGAGTGCTATGGCGTCACAGCTCACAGCAACCTCCAACTCTTGGGCTTAAGCGATTCTCTTGCCTCAGCCTCCTGAGTAGCTGGGACTGTAGGCACCCACCATAACACCTGGCTATTTTTTGTTACAATTCTTATTGCTGTTTTAGTTGGCCGGGGCCAGGTTCAAATCGGCCACCCTTGGTATATGGGCCTAGTGCTCTACCCACTGAGTGACAGGCGCTGCCCCTGTGCCTGGCTATTTAGAGCAGAAATCATTAACAGCCAGCTCTGCAAGGCCTTTGATTAATAAGACCTTTAGTGCTTTGAGGGCCTTTATTTCCAAGATGTCCTAAAAGGCAACTAAAATGAGTGTCCTTAGAGTAACATTAATTGGGCCTATTGCACCTTAGGGCCACTACTGATTTTTGGCCAGGCCAGTGGTCAATGAGCGAAGTCGGGGCGATGTCAGTAGCTGCTAACTCCCAACCTAGAGAGGGCCACCACAGTGCTGCTGCTCAGACAGCTCCCAGGAGCCCCTTAAATCCCTTCCCTGGGTGACCACATGGCCCTGGAAAGCCATGGGAGATGTCAGCCAAATGCTGCCATGTACTCTAGTTGTCCACTGACATCAGCTCCTCCAGGCTGCCCAGCTGCTGGGAGCCTGTTGGACAGCACCCAGTCTGTAACCCTGCTCATCTCAGAGGTTTGGGGAGCCCACCAAGATTGTTAGAAGGGAAGGCTGGGGTGGAGCTCTATTGAGTGACAAAGGCACTTTTTGTGTAGGAAAAACTGCCAATGCATTCACCCAACTCCTAAAATACATAAAAGAAAGGGAAAAAAAAGGCATGGTTTGCACATTCGAAAGTCCAAGGATAGTGAAATGGAGGAAAAAGGGTTTAACCTCATTAAAACATGCTCATGGTGAAAATTTATTTTACATATTTAAAATAGTACAGGTAAAGTTATTAGTTACATTACAGATACAATGACGAGCGCGGGGACTCTCCATGATATTGCACAGCCTGACTCCATCCAGACGGGTTTCTTTAAATAGTGCAAAATGCTTTGTACAGGAATGTGTTCAGAAGGGGCTTCACAACCAAAATAAGGAAGGGAAATATCTTACAAATTACCATGAACATATATTAAAGTGACACAGGAAGGGGGCAAATTAAAAAAAAAAAGTTACAATCTGTACAGAGGAATTGCCACAGACAACCAGAAAGTTCCCTTTCTCCTGGGAGAAGAAGCAAGCCTCCAACCTTTACAGGTCTGGCATCTGTGCTAGGGTAATTTTTTTGGGTCAATCAAAAATATCTATATATCTCTAGATCAGTAACTTAATACAATATAAATAGAAGTCCAGTCCAGTGAGTCCTGTAGGGGTCAAATGTAGCAATGGAAGTTTTGCTTTTTGTCACCTAGGGTTTCAGTAGGGTTCTTTTCTTAATGAGTTGAGGGGGAGGAAGGGGAAAAAGAAAAAAAATTACTGCCACTGCCACCAACCAAAACACCAGAACAATCCAGCCTGGATGCCTCGTGCTGCGTGGGGCTCCAGCACTCAGACAGGGGTTCCAGTGGCACTGTTGAAAGTAAGCAGCAGGATTTCCCTACTGTGTGTTTGCACTTTTGTGTTCATTTGTTTTTGAATTTTTTTTTTTTAATCCACATACTCCTCTCCCGGGGAAGCCAATGAGGCACTTACTTGATGCTCCCGTCACTATTTTCTGCTGCTGCCGTGGCTTTGGTGAGGGGCGCCAGGATGCTGCCTGGGACCCAGCCCTCGGCTGCGGGGGAGTGATCACTGGCGGGCTGGTACACCAGGCACATGTTCTGCTGGTTGACGGCGAGGACCTGGACCACCTCACCTTGGCTCACACAGATTTCATTCTCTTTCAGTGCATAGTAATCTTTGATCACAGCCATGGAAGAGGTCCCATTGCAGCCTCCCAGGTCATTCTGCTAGTAGACAAGGGTAAGAAGGACACAAACACAAGGAGACTGGTTCACAAGGGCTTGGTCTGTGCCCTGCTAGGCTAAATCTCTCTCGACCAGGCTAAAGAGCTGGCAGAATACTCTCTTGACTAATGACATTATGTTCACAGATGTACTCTGAGAGTGCAATGTTTAGAACAATGTTTCCTAAATATTCTATCAGGAGGGAATAGGTAGGAATAGTGCCCAGCCCCAGTCCAGGTAAAGGTGTATATTAGCACGCCTCTACCCGGAAGCCCCTTCCCAGCATGCAATATTCCCACCAGCAGCATCCTCTTATAAATGCAAAGAATCTGGCACTGGCACCTGGGTAGAGTAAGGTCAGGGCAAAGGTCACAATCCTTCAATGCAAAGAACACAGACCCTTTGATTATTATTTTTCCTTTTTTTTCTTTTTGGTCTTACGCTATATTCTGACCCTCCTTGAAACAGGAGTAAGAATGACATCTCTGCTCGATTCAAAGGCAAGGCTATGACCTACACTTACCCAGCATCCTGCAGAAACAGACTCCTGCAGTCCCCTCCACTACTCATTAATAGGAAAGGCACTGCCTACATGACCTTTTCATGTTGAGTCTACACCAGGGAAGCTGCTTCAAGACAGCCTGTACCTCCCAAGGCCTAGATGCTTTATAAAGCACAGGAGAGCCAGAAATTCAATATATTTGGATAATGTAATAGTACCTTCAACTTATTCACAAAGGCAGGGGTTTTGTTTTTTGTTTTTAATTATTATGGGTACATAATAGTTATAGAGATTTATAGAACATATGATGTTTTGATACAGGCACACAATGTGAATTAATCAAATCAGAGTAACTGGGGTATCCATCGCTTCTGGCATTTATCACTTCTTTGTGTTAGGAACATTGTAATTCTACTCTTTTAGTTATTTTAAAGCAGTGGTTCTCAACCTTCCTGATGCTGCAGCCCTTTACTACAGTTTCTGTGGGTCGTGACCTACAGGTTGAGAAGGGCTATTTTAAAGTATATCCTAACTCGGACATGTATGGTGCCTCATGTTTGTAATCCTAACACTTTGGGAGGCTGGATGGTAAGATTGCTTGAGGCAAAGAATTTAAGACCAGGCTGAGCAAGAGCAAGTGACCCCTGTCTCTACAAAAATTAGAAAAATTAGCCAGGCATGGTAGAGTGTTCCTGTAGTCCCAGCTACTCAGGAGGCTGAGGCACAAGGATTGCTTGACCCTAGGAGTCTGAAGTTGGTGATGCCACTGAACTCAAGCCTAGGTGACAGAGCAAGACTGTGTCTCAAAAAAAAAAAGTATACCCTAACTCTGCAGTCCCCAACCCCCAGGGCTGCAGACTGTACTTATCTATTCCTATTAGGAACTGGGCCTCACAGCAAGGGGTGAGTGGTAGGTGAGGGAGGGAACCTTCATCTGTATTTACACAGCTCCCCAAGTTCACATCAGTGCCTGAGACCCTCCTCCTGTCAGATTAGCAGTGGCATTAGATCCCCACAGGAGCACAAACCCTACTGTAAACAGCACACGCTCCTAATGACACTCTGATGCCTGATGATCTAAGGTGGAGCTGAGGTGGGGATGACAGTGCTAGGGAGCAGCTGCAAATACAGATTCTCATTAGCAGAGAGATTTGACTGTGCAGGGACCATAATAAATCAATTTCTTGCAGATTCATATCAAAACCATCTTCCCTAGCACCCTGCTCCTAATCCATGGAAAAACTGTCTTCCATGAAACCAGTCCCTGGTACCAAAAAGGTTGGGGACAACAGCTCTTAGTATTGATTATCGTCACTGTGTTGTGCTCCTTGTATCTAATTATCTAACTATATTTTTGCACCCATTAACCATCCCCACTTTATCCCCTGCATCCCCACGACCCCTCCCAGCCTCTAGTCACTATCTGTTTACTCTCTCTCAGGGAGATCAGTTGTTTCTAATATTTCACTCCTATATATGATGGAGAACAGGCAAGATTTGTCTTTCTGTGCCTGGCTTGTTTCATTAATGTTCTCCAATTCCATTCATGTTGTTGCCAAATAGCAGAGTTTCAGTCTTTTTTGTGGCTCCATAATACAGACAGTCCCATATCCAACTGACGTTCAACTTGCACTTAGGAACAGAGAGGCTGTTATGGGTAGTAGGCAAATGTACCTGTTCCAACTTACATACAAATTCAACTTACTAAGAACAAACCTACAGAACCTACCTCATTTTTAACCCTGGGACCGCCTGTATTCCACTGTGTACATGTACCCCAATTTCTTTATCTCATCATCTGCTGATGGGCACTTAAATTGATTCCAAATCTTGGTTATTGTAAATAGTGCTGCAATAAACATGGGAGTGTAGCTAACTTTTTGATATACTGAATTCCCCTCCTCTAGATACATTCTCGGCAGTGGGATAGTTATATTTTTAGTTTTCTGAGGAACCTCCAGCCTGTTCTCCATAGTGGTTGCAGTAACTTACATTCCCACCAACAGTGTATGGGGGTTCCCTTTCTCTACATCCTTGCCAGCATTCATTATTGCCTGACTTTTTGATAAGAGCCATTTTATCTGGAGTGAGATGATATCTCCGTGTAGTTTTGATTTTCATTTCTCTGATGACTAATGTTGAGCATTTTTTTATGTACCTGTTGGTCATTTGAATGTCTTCTTTTAAAAGATATCTATTCATATTCTTTACCTATTTTTAATTGGATTATTTGATTTTTTCTGTTGCGTTGTTAGAGCTTCTTATATGCTCTAATCTCTTGTCAGTTGGGTAGTTTGAAAATATTTCCTCACATTTTGTGAGTTGTCTGTTTACTTTGTTGATTATTTTCCTTGCTTTGTGGAAGGTTTTTAGCTTGGTGTGATCCCATTTGTCCAATTTTGCTTTGGTTGCCTGTGCTTTGGGGGTATTACTCAAGAAGTGGATAGGAAGTATTTAAGGTGGGAAATCATTTGTAGGTGATGTGATGAAATAGGTTGGTAGTTATTCTAATACAGAATTAAACTTGGACATTAATGATTAATTTTTTAAATAAAATCAATATTAAATAATAATTTGGGGAAAGAGAATAAAAATATAAAATTGGAATGTGAAGGTCAAAAAATGTAGGTGTTCCTAGTCATAGACCCATTTAGTTCTAGAGCAGTGGTTCTCAACCTGTGGGTCGCGACCCCTTCATAACAATGAAAATACATCATAGCATTAGGAAGGTTGAGAACCACTGATGTAGAGGAAACTGAGGCCTAATGACATTAACTAACTTGCTAAGGTTCTAGAAAAAATGAAATACCGAATTTGGAATAGAAGCTGGATTGCCTGGTTCCTAATCTAGCACTTTTCCCATTTCTCTCTTGTTCTTACTACATTTTAGGGTCAGGATAGCTGTGCAGACCAGCTTTATGACCCTCCTCATGGTGATAGGTGAATTGTGGATTTTCTATGATGAACATCAATCCACTCACCCACTCTCATATTGCCGATCAATTTTCCTTTGCCACATCATTAGTAAAGAACTGTGAATGTACTTTAGAAGCTGTGTTCAAGGCAGATCATCTTTTTGGAGTTGTGACTTTTAGATGATCAGCACCACAGCTACTGTATTTGGTATAAATCACCCATTTTCATGGTGCTATCACAATATTACCTTATATTTGTATAGAGTTCTATAGATGATACCAGCTCCTTAACACAGAATGTATGACTGATCTAACTCAATTTATAAGAAAGAGAAATTATTGAGACTAGACTGTATTTTGTTGACCATTCCTGCTATAACAGTCAGCATAAAAAGATGGTACTTCTTAAAGTAACCTCTGAGGCTATGTCCTCATAGTGGCAAGGGTGGGAGTTATAGGTCATCACCTACCTTGCTGGTTTCAAACTTGTCCCCAGGCTGGTGGTAGTCAAACCCCGGACTGCCATTGGAGGTAGATATCTTCAGGGGTGGCAGAGGTGGGTTATAGGTGGAGCCCTTTGGGGGCTTCTCAGAGCCCACGGGGACAGAGGAGTAGGGCCTAGGGCTGGCTTGGGGAACCCTTGCAGGTTGAGACCTCATCACAGCTGTGCTCCTTTCTTTGCGCTGGTACTCAATGGGCGACTGTAATGCTGTAGGATAAGAGCAGGTGGTCACTCTAAGCTTTGAGAATCCCACAAGGATTTAGACACTGGTTAGGTAAAAGGCTTTGTGTTAGGCATAAGTGGATACAGAAGGAAAACATGACACTTTTTTTTTTGAGACAGTCTCACTATGTCACCCTTGATAGAGTGCTGTGGTGTCACAGCTCACAGCGACCTCAAACTCTTGGGCTTAAGCGATTCTCTTGCCTCAGCCTGCCAAATAGCTGGGGCTATAGGCACCTGCCACAACACCTGGCTATTTTTTGGTTGCAGTTGTCATTTTTTTTTGTTTTAGCAGGCCCGGGCCGGGCTCAAACCCACCAGCCTCGGTGTATTGTGGCTGACGCCCTATTCACTGAGCTATGGGCACCTAGCCAACATGACCTTTATGTAAAAGAAAATGTGAGAACTAAGACACCTACCTAAAAAATGAAAATAGAGAACCAAAGTGGTGCCACACGTGAGGTGCAAAGTGTCATGCAAAAGGAGGAAAGAGTGTGCATGTGTGTATGTATGTATAAATGCATGTATGTGTGTGTGGTGGCGGGACTAAGAGCTTCAAGGGCTTCAAATTCTGACATTTAGACTCTGCAGGAAGGAAGCAAGTGTGTGAAGTGTGTTTGGGAAACAGGAAGTAGTCAGAGTGCCCAGAGCCTAGGGCCATGGGTCTCTACTGAGGAAGAGGAAACATGATAGGGTAGGGAGGTAAGAAGTATGAAAGATCTAAAATCCAAGCCAATGAGTCTGGGCTTAATTCTGAAGGTCACAAAAAGTAACTAGATTAAATAAACTTCAAAGTTTAAATTCAGATTCTATCATCAATGCCACATTTGAGAATCATTAACCTTGTATTGGTTAGGAGGAGGGATTGAGAGGAAGAGGCAAAAGCCTCTGTCTAATTCAGAAACCATGAGACAGTAATAAGCAAGAGGCAGAGGGTCTAAGGAGGGGAGGGCTTAGGGATGTGGAATGGACACAGGTGTGGCAAGTGTGGAGGGGGATGAGCCTGACAGCCTGGAAAGGAAGAGCAATGTAAGGTGGAAGACGGTGCAGGGTTGGAGATGGGAGGATGGCAGTCAGCAGAACCCAGAAGACAGGAAAACAAGCTGATTTGAAGGGAAAGACATAAACTATGTTTCACAGAGTTTAAGGTAACAAAGTTTCAAGGTCTGAATACTAAAGAGGTACAGCCAGGCAATCATCATACAGGTCAAATTCTTTAAGAATGACTTCAAGGGTTGGCCTGATTATGTCATTTTTAACAGTATTCACTGTAACAACTACTTAAGTGGGTTAACAGCTGGGGCCCAGAGAACTTTTCAATTGTAAGGATATGTCTATAGCTGTAGGTAGGTACTTCAATAGAACTCAATATAGGGTCATACTTCCTTTCTATTTGAGGCCTCAGGAGGGAAAGATTGGCTCTGAGATGCCTGTACATGTCTCTGTAAGTATTAATAAAAAGCCTGGCCCTGGTCCACCATCACATCCTTGTCCCTTGAGTGTGTCAAAGTAATATCAGGCCTGCCAGAGCTCAGTCTCTCTCCCCGCGGAGTATTCTGCAGGCATTAAATATTTAGATAATGATAACCTAGTTCAGTAATATAATTGGTCCTCTGTATTCATGGGCTCTGCATCTGTGGATTCGACCAACTGCAGGTCGAAAATATTTGGGAAAAAACAAAAACTGATGGCTGCATCTGTACAGAACATGTACTTATTTTTTTTCTTGTTATTACTCTCTAAACAATATACTGTAACAACTATTTACATAACATTTATGCTACATTAGGTATTACAAGTAATCTAGAGATGATTTAAAGTATACAAGAGGATGTACATAGGTTATGTATAAATACTATGCCATTTCTCATCAAGGACTTGAGCATCCATGGATTTTAGTATCCATGGAGGGTCCTGGAACCAATGCCCTGTGGATACGAAGAAATGACTGCACCTCTATAATTTTACTATAATCAGAAGAGGGTCTCTTGGAACTATGTAAAGTAAAGTCTGAATCATTGACTGTGACTAAAGAAATGCAGTTCTAAGTTTTAAATACATAGCAAGTTTGTGAAGTAATACTTGTCAAACTGAATCCATGAATCAATACCCATCATATGAAATTGGAATATTACCTGATCATATACAATAACTATGCTACAGCATTTGAAAAAGTATGTCTTTTTAATTTTATTTTTATTTTTTGTAGAGACAGGAGTCTTGCTTTTGCCCAGGCTGGTCTCAAATTTTTAGGCTTCAGCAATCCTTTTGTCTGGCTTTCCAAAGTGCTAGGATTACAGGCACGAACCATGAGCCACCATGCCCAGCCATGCCTCATTAAATAAGCTACACATAGGTTAGGCATGGTGGTTCATGCCTGTATCCCAGCATTTTGGGAGACTGAACTGGGAGGATTGCTTGAGCTCAGGAGTTCAAGATAGCCTGTGGGCATCTCAGGAGGCTAAGGCAGGAGGCCTGCTGGAACCCAGGAGTTTGAGATTGCAGTGAGCTATCATTCTGTCTCAAAACAAACAAACAAACAAACAACAACAACAAAAAAACTACATAGAGAACCTGAATTCTTTTCCAGCCTCAACCTGCATAACTTAGGTCTTAGGATCTAGAAAGCTGTACATCTCTGACAGGGCTTGGACTTGGCTGATGGATATAATATCTTTTACCTGATGCTGTTTCTTTTCCTTGTTTGCTGGGAAGCTCATAGATAATGTGTACCCTACCATTAGCACTTACAATGCAGTTTTGTGGGTAAGAACCTAATGTGAAATCCTATGGGTTCAAGTTCTTATTCTATTACCTATAGTTTTTGTGACCTTGGACAAATTTTTTAATCTCTCTGAGTCCCCCCCCTTTTTTTAACCTGAAAAATATAGGACGCTAGCACTTACCTTTCCATGTTGATGTGAGGATTAAAAGTGAAAAAAACATGTGAAATGTTATGCACAGTGCCTGGCACAGAGTAAGGACACCATGTATTATTATCATATGTATTATAATAATGTATGAGCCATTATTATTACATCAATAATTTCTGGTTTTGACTTATTGTCATACCTCGTTTTTCTTTTGTTCTGAATTGATAAATTTAAAAATCCTCATTCCAGCTTAGAACCTATCAGAAATTCCTAATAGAATACAATTTAAATGAATGTACTTCATATATGCACATATTTTACATAAAATTATTTTTATCAATGAAAGTATTAATTCAAAGTTGTATATTCAGCAATCATAAGTCATATATAATTTTCATTACCATCTTTCAGGGCTAGACTGGTATTGAATTTTAGACTTTTAAGAATGAAAAAGAATTTTAGAGATCACTTAGTCTAGTTTTTTTCCACTGACTTTTCTACAGTTGGGGGTCAAACAGTAGGGCCCAAAATACTCTTTGTAATGCTCTGAGGTCACATGTTCTATATTAATAAGTCATGGCGGCTTGCTATACAATCTCCTTCTATTTGTTTTAAAATACAAACATATGCTGAATACCTCACCATAATAAATACCATAGTAAAACCGATATCACAGGGAGGTGTGCCCTGTCTTCCTGCTCTCAGCACAGCTGGTACACCACGACAGGCTGGCATGGGCAGGAGATCTACCCAAACCCGTCTTTTCACAAAATGAGCCACAGGAGGCTCACAGAAACGTCATGGCTTGCCCAAGGTCCTCAACTATATGTCACCTTTTATCTTTCCCTACAGCATTCAGTTCCATTCCAGACACCCAGAAAATGCTATTTTTGCATAATTTGAAAGAGTCCAGATCCTAGTACTTGCATGAAGAGGTGAAACCCAAGGGTGGGCCCCTGTACATATGTGTACATGTACATGTGTGAGCACATACGACCATATCTCAGGCAGGCATGAAGAGGAAGTATGCCCACAGGCGGTACTCTGCAAGCACATGCACGCTTATATGTGTGTGTGTGTGTGTGTGTGTGCATGCATACAACATACAGGTATATGCCTGGTGAGTTTCCAGGCTGACTTTGTTACTGGTTACATTTTTTTTTTTTTTTTTGAGACAGAGCCTCGAGCTGTCACCTTGGGTAGAGTGCTGTGGCATCACAGCTCACAGCAACCTCCAACTCCTGGGATCAAACAAGTCTCCTGTCTCTGCCTCCCAAGTAGCCACAGGTGCCTGCCATAATGCCTGGCTATGTTTTGGTTGCAGCCGTTGTTGCTGTTTGGCAGGTCCAGGCTGGATTCGAACCTGCCAGCTCAGCTGTATGTGGCTGGCACCTTCGCCACTTGAACCACAGGCGCAGAGCCTACTGGTTACATTTTGCCTTCATCTTCAAGCTTTGTTTTTGCTCAAGAGACTTCTGAGCTCACCAACTCTGTTCTAGTTTAAAACTATGCACTCCCTTCACACACCAAGTTCAATGTGGAGAAAATCCCAGCAGAGGAAATAATAAAGACACGTAAACAGGGTCGCAACTCCATTTCCCTCCAGTTCACATCCCCAGTGGGGGAGTCTTGCAGGGACCACAGAGAGCTGGATTTGCCAATTTGTTCTGAGAAGCTGCGAGGTATTATTGAAATTTAGAGTGAGCCAACACCTCTCTTAAGAGGTAAGGGGGCTGGGTGCAATGGCTCACAGCTATAATCCTACCACGCTGGGAGGCCAGGGCAGGTGGACTTCCTGAGCTCAGGAGTTGAAGACCAGCCTGAGCTAGAGTGAGATCCTCTCTCTAAAAATAGCCGGGCATTGTGTTGGGCACCTGTAGTTCTAAGTACTTGGGAGGCTGAGGCAAGGAGATTGTTTGAGCTCAAGAGTGGGAGGTTGCTGTGAGCTGTGATGCCATGGTGTTCTACTCTTTATTACTCTTTATTTATTCATCAAAGTAAATAGAATAGAATAAAATAAAATGGGTAAAAATTGCTAGCAAAGTGACTTATCTAGGCTCTCACAATGTTGGGAGAAGAGTTATCTAGAGTTAACTGCTGAGCTCCTAGTTATCTCCAGATAACAGCAGAGAACCTGAGAATAACAACCCCAGCCAACCACCGAGTGGGAAAACACGTCTTTGATAGTCTGCTCTGAAGACACAGAGAATAGGCCCATCTCAGACTTTTGCCCTAATTCGTACCAGTGGGTAGTAGAGGCCACAGGCATACATCCTACATGTCCTGTAAGAGAAATCCCTTCTTTTGGCAAGATGGGGTTTCTTTTTCATACCCCACCTGTCCCACTTGTGTGTTCAGATTCAGAAGAATTCAAAAGCATTTCTGAAAACTACAAAGTTTGGAGTCGACATAAAATGTGATCTGGGTTCACAACTCACTGTGACCCAGGGAAGCTCAGAGGGGTGAGTTCCTCTGAGGTGGAGGAGCCAGCACCCACCATTTAAGAAGTCTCGCTGTGTGTCTAGGACTTGATTGATGTCCTGCACCCAGGCCTGCTGGATGTCAGCGTTGGCGGCTTGCAGAATGACCCTCTCAGAAGTCTCTCTGTTCATGAGTGCAAACTTGCAGGGGTCACTGTCCACGTTCTCCTCCAGGACCAAGTAATTCATCTGGAAGGAAACAAGTTGGTCTGTTTCATATTTCCAAAGGTGTTTTTGTTTCTTAAAGCAGAGACATATACCTTTCTTTAAAGTTTTTATTTCAGGAGAAGTTTCCAAATTTTACCCTGGATCTAGCAGGTCAGTGCTTTGGTTTCTGTTTCTGGAGGAGTGACCCGACCCCAGGGAACCTGATCATGATGGAGGCTGGCCCTCAACCTGCCACTTTTTCTCACAAATAATCACTGTTTTTCACTTAGCCTCCATAATGATGTATTACTGGACTGGCAGATCTTCAGCGTTCTGGACCCTTGCCAGGCCAGGCTTCACCTTAGGGAAGCAGATCCCAAGTGTGTGGCCCTTTCTGCCCCTTCTCATTCCTACTGGGGTCCTTACCTTGATGCTCCTTTTGAACATGTAGCCCGGGGTGAGGGAGCCCTTCCTGAGCAGTTCACTGAAGATGACAATCTGTTCAAAGAGGAACACGCGCCTCTCCTTGGTCCGGGACTGCATGCCTGCATCCAGCTCGATCACATAGAACGTGTCCTGCTGCAGCAGCTTCCCCTGAGCAGTCAGGGTGCCCTGGTGGAAAGGAGCCAGGGTGAATCAAACGAAAATGGGGAGACGGCCACTGCCCTCTCAGGCCACACTACCTCCCTCTCTGGGGACATGGGCAACAGACCTGACATCAAAAGGCTCAGGGCTCTGGTAAGAGACTGAATCTGAACCCATCCCCTCATGTAGGGGCAGATCATGGCCACTTTCCTGTTCACGCAGGGCCCTGGAGCCACCGAGAAAGAGCTCAAGCAAAGGCCATAGGTAAAAAGATGAAATTAGTAGCTAAAAAGAAGTTCTAGAGTTATTCTGATCCTTCTAGTTTTTTTATTAAAAGGAGACTAGAGGCTCGGCGCCTATAGCTCAACCGGCTAAGGCGCCAGCCACGTACACCTAAGGTGGCGGGTTCGAATCCCCAGCCCGGACCCGCCAAACAACAATGACGGCTGCAACCAAAAAATAGCCAGGCGTTGTGGCGGGCGCCTGTGGTCCCAGCTACTTGGGAGGCGGAGGCAGGAGACTCGCTTGAGCCCAGGAGTTGGAGGTTGCTGTGAGCTGTAATGCCACGGCACTCTGCCCAGGGGGACAGCTTGAGGCTCTGTCTCAAAAAAAAAAAAAAGAAAAGGAGACTAGAAAACAGGTGACACTTGCAGCTAGAAGTAGACTTTCTGTCCTCAGAGCTCTGAGAGCTGTAGCTGCCTGGCCACTCTACAGTACAGGCCAATGACCTGGGGGACTCTCATGGCCACAAATCTTGGGCTTACCTGTGGCCAGGGAGGTGATGGAGGCAGGACCACAGATACAGTGGCAAGTTGGGCACCTCTCTCTTATCCTCGTATTATTTTAGGATAGGGAATTCTGAAGCCTTGTCTCCAGCTACAGGGCAACAGACAATGTGGGGGCAGCACACGTAGGTCCCATGGTTTATATGCTGATAGGTACTTTTCTGGGTCCTGTAATCCTTCTTAAAATGACTCTAGCTACCAGACACCCTGACACCCAGCTGAGGAGGTAGAGCCTATTTTGTTCGTCAGCTTCTAATGAGATTTTTAGAGACATCTTTACCTCTTCAAAGGAGATATGCCCCCACCCTGCAAGTCTTCCCAGAATCTGTCTGAGAGTTTTGCCTTTGCTATTGCTCTGCAGTAGGAAGACTAACAGCTGAGGCAGCAGAGGCCCCTGACATGTAGGTATTCTTTTTCAGGGGAGAGTTTTTGTGCTTTAGTGCAAATGTGGGCCATTCCCTTCACGTGACGCCTTATTCCAAACACTGCCTGGCATAAGGGTCGTTTTTCTTTTGTGTTCCTAAATAATGCCTGCCCTCTGCTTGGCTCTTTACTGCCAAGGTCAGCAGTCAAACAGGCTTATCTCTAACCTGGACTAAAGTTAATACTAAGCCAGTGACCCGCTAGCCAGAAAGCTCTAAAAGTTCTATTAATATCACACAGAACCTGATCATGGGTTATAGCCAGCCAACACCAAAAGGAAAGCCAGAGAATTTGACAGAGCGGGAATTAAAATGAGGGGCCTCTAACTTCTTGCAGGCCCAAAGTCATGGTCATGGGGAGCAGACAGATGTTCACTGTTCTTCCCGATTAGCTGAAGGAATGCAAAGCAGATTCTCTGTGGATTGATGAACATAGGAGGCAGTGGGACTTGACTTAAAAGAGATGAGAATCCTATGCTTATGTGTGGCCTGCGTGCACACACATACACACAACGTGGCTCCAGTGATGTTTAACTTGGGTCAGATAGCACAAGCACATGCCACTTTTCCAGTCAGTGCCACCTTCCTCCAGAGACCCAGAGAGAGCCAGGCCAGACTGCTGTTCGGAAAACGTGGGGACTTCAAGGTTGAAGAGCAAAAAGGATTACTTGGTTTGTTCAGAACAGCCTCAGACATGGCATAATGCTGAGGGAAAAAACTGTAAGACTCCACCCAGTACGACTGGAAAAAACCATGTGACAGCACAGTGTGTTTCTGTAACACTGCTTATTCCTCAGGTCTACCCGGGAGAACCAGGAATCTATGAAAAATGAATAGCAAAGAAGACCTTCCACGTAGTTCCTGTCACAAAACACAGAAGACAAACAAGGGCACCCAGAAAAAGCTGAAAGGGCAAGGTAGACAGGAGATTGGGCTTAAACACACATGAATCCAACTCATTACTCAAATATAAACCAAATAAAGCACCTTCCATACTTATCTATACTACTGCTGTCTGCTTTCTGTCTATTCTAGTCTGGTTTAGCTAGGAAGAAGAGCTACTTCTTTCTTAATTTTATTTATTTATTATCATAAAGTTTTTGTAGAGATATGGTGTTGCTCTGCTGCCCAGGTGGTCTCAAACTCCTAGCTTCAAGTAATCCTCTCATCTTAGCCTCCCAATGTGTTATGATTACAGGTGTAAGCCATTATGCCCAACCTATTTCTTTCTTAATTATCTCAGTTTCTAGGAATCCTTTTTCTCCAAAAGGGAGAAACAGAATTAAAAGATTACTGGAGAACAGAATTAAAAAACTCACATCTCTCTGCAGGGGGGATCAGTAACTACTAGGTACAAGTCAGTGATTGTGTCAGTTCCAACTTTACCACATTAATATTCAAGGCATATTAGTTTAGTTAGTGTATGAGACTTGGATATAAACTAATAACAGTTTTTAAGTTTAAATCAGGAAAGTCAGTTTGTTCTCCAAAGGTTCACTGTTACAGGTTGAACTGTGTTGTCCCTCACGCCCTGCTGCCCATCCCTCACCCATTCATGTGTCAGAACGTGGCCTTATCAGGAGGTAGGCTCTTTGCAGAGGTAATCAAGTTAAACGGAGGTCATTAAAGTGAGCCCTAATGGAATATGACAGAGGGGAGGCAATGTAAGATACAGGGATAATGCCATGTGAACATGAAGATAGCCATCTGCAAGCCATGGAGAGAAGCCTGGGACACATCCCTCCCTTGCAGCCTGCAGAAGGAACCACCCATACAATACCTTGATTTCACACTTCTAAGCCTCCAGTAATGTGACACAATACATTTCTGTTGTTTAAGTCACCCGATTTATGGTACTTTGGTATGGTAGCCCTAGAATACTAGTATATTCACTTAAACCAAAATCCTTGAGACATCTAGCTATTTCCCTAAGATTTGATTCCCCTCTTCAAAGAACAGAGATATAAACTATAACGTTTAGCTTAAAAGGTTCCTTTAACTAAAAAGTCAGTCCCTCCACAGATCTGTTTATTAGAACTACCTTCTCAAAAATTAAAAAAAAAAAAATTTAAAAAAAGGTATTCCGTTCTCCTGCTTAGGTCCGCGTCTATCACATAGCTCTGCTATGGACTCACTCACATTCCCAGCATTTCTTCATCAAAAAAAAAAAAAGGGAAGAGGTCAGTGCCAGGTCCAAACAATTATAGAGAACTTTGGGTCTTTCCCACCCCTGGGAATTCTGACTCTGGCTTGGCCTTCTGCTCTGTAACTTCCTATGACTGCCCAAGTGCTGGACTTCCCAAACTGATGCACCTTCCAGGCCTGTGAACAAGAGAGCCCAGGCACAAAGGGCTAAAGAAGGAGGCCCAGGCCAAAGATGGAGGCAGAGGAGGCTGGACACAGGGCTTCAAATGGAACAGGCCTCGATGGCCTGGACTCCTGTGCCTAGGAGAGGGCTTAGAAGCATTCCTAAGGACTCACCTCAAAGCCCTGCAGGCGTCCAAGATTCATCATGTCATTGCAGCGTTTGGGAACAAGGCACATTAACTCCACTGCTTTCTGTAGGAAAGAATGGTAGTCACTCAGGAGGGGAACAGCACTCAGGAAGGACACTGTCAGGAATTCAGTGCTGGAAGACAAGGACCTCGCTTCTGACATCCCTTTTAACCTAGGAGAGGACACTGGTCCCTGCTGTCCACTCTCAGGGAGTGCAGGGCTTTCTCTTCTAGACAGGGGATGTTGGTCATAAGTCAGTGACTCCACATGGCGGGCATATCACTCAGCCCGTCCTTTCCTACTTTCTCACTTCTGTTTAACAATTTCCTTTTCTTCTCTTATTTTCTTTCTTCTCTCCTTTATTCGCTGGCTGCCCAAGCAACACATAGCCTGGCTTATGAAACACTAGAGTTTTTAACCTAAAATAACCTGCCAGAATGATTCGTACCCTCTCTGGCTTAAAATAATCCCCTTGGTGACATTGTTTCAAAGGACTTTACTTTAGGGAGTAATCCTTGGGGGTGGGGTGGGGGATGGAAATGAAATACTTTACATGTTTGTAGATTCGAACAGTACTTAGAGTCATGGATAAAGTTGCTTATTGGAGCTCTTTTGCAATTTACACCCAATCTCTGAAGGATGTGAGGGGTAAAGTACCACCTTTTCCCTCTATATGTCACCAGGAGCCACCAGTAGGGGCACATTCAGGTCTGGCCCAGGACAGAAGTCTTAAATTCTAGAAAATACTCTGTTCATTAACCCTTGCCATCCTCACCCTGCCGAGTAGCTGTTCGCAAGGACCTCTTACTGTCTAAGGGGAGGCCAGTGTGGATCCTCCTGGGACAATCTTCTTCCCAATAGAGAGAGACACCCAGCATGGGCCCTGAGACCAGCAAGCATTACACGCAGAAAACTCACCTCAATATCGGAACACTCCAAACCAGCCTTCTCACTATATCTCAGGAAGTCCTGCAAGTAGGGGAAGTAGGGAAGGGTGTGGGAAGGGGTGAAATTAGTTAGTAAAATAGGCAGAGAGCTATAAAAAACTTATCATAAAATGTGGTAACACCCTAAAGACTTTCCTTTCCAGCAGAGGTGGCAACGGTTTGTAGTAGTTGAGAAACAAAATTATGAGTCACATTAGACATAATAACAGAGAAAACTCCCAGAATATTCAATGTCTGAAAGCTATGAGGGAAGAAGGGATAAGAGAGAGGGAGGGAAGAAGGAAATTATTTCAAGAAAGGATGGGGGAAAGTAAAATCTTTTTATTTAACCTTATACAGTTCTATGAGACAAACCAAATTAAGCCATTGTTTAAAATAAAATATAATCACATTTTAGGTATTACCATCCAAGGCTTCTAGAATCTTGCCTTTCCCTTTCTTTCCCCCCGTATTCCACTCTGATTTTATGCCCTTATTAGTTTTTAGTTTTTAAAAGTATTGAGTCAGTGATTGCGACAAGGTAAGAAAGTGAATTGAAGAAAAAACCCGAAACCAAGTAACATCCAGTGTTAAGAGCAGGAAGAATAGTAATGCAACTTACCTGGGGACAAAACTGAAGAGCAATCAGCAGACAAGCCTGCATGCACGCCCCCCTCCACCCCCAGTTCACAGTCCCTGTCTGTAGAGACAGACCCCTGAGTCCCACTGCTCTCCAGGTCTGAACCTGGGGAGGCCCTTCTTTTGCCCTGACCCAGGTCCTGGCTTCTTACCTTGAGGAGTAACTGGTATTTTGTTATTCTCTGAATGGGCTTAATGAGGAAGTCGCTAAGTGTCAGCCTCTGATTTATCTCCTGTTTTACCTCCTGAAACACAAAGAAGCTCTGTTAGGAAAAGAGATCAAAGAATTCGGGTGTTCTGGGTCAGGGATCAAAGACACAGAAGATAGGTCTTCATGATTTTCAATAAAGTTTAAGAATCTTCAAGCCATACAAGAGGTAAAATTGCCCACAGGACTGCTCATTTTTTAGGAACAACAGTAAGACACACCCTTAGCCTTAGTGCCTTCCTACTGTGCTTCCACAGCAAACACCTTCACCTTGGTCCTGGGAATCAAGCTAGAAGGGGATTGTGTTCTGTCTTTAGTGCTCCAGGGCAAAGTCCTAGGACGCAAGATCTGAATCCTAACCACAGATCTCCAAACACTGAGCTGAGGGCTCTTCAAAGTGAGGATACTGCCTTTCCTTCAACAAAATAGATCCTTCTAGGCTGGGGCAAGGCGAGACTAGGAACTGGCTGCAAATCCCTCAACCAAGAGAAGGCTCCTCAGCGAGCCCTCAAAAGGGGACTGTTGGGGAGGGGTATGGCCACATTCTGCCCTGGGGGCACTTAAATGCAGAACTGGTGCTTCTGAGATAGCCTCGGTCATTCTCAAATGACCTCTATCGCTCTGCAATGGAGGCTTCTCAAATCAGAACCCAGACCAGGCTCACTGCCAGCAAAGCTGCTCATGAGAGTTCAGCTAAGAAGCTAACGGCTCTGTGGAGGCAGCTATTCCTGCCATGAATGGGTCCACAGTGCTGAGAGGGAGTCACCTGTAGATGGTGCCATCTGGTATTTCAGCCTGAGTTTCACCCCCCATTCCAGTTCAGCACAGCCTCAGCAGTTTACCTCAAAGTAGGTGTCGTACTCGGCAACGATGTACTCAGAGCGTGGTTTATTCTGGCAGTACCACACGTAGATGTGCAGCTTCCGCTCCTGAAAGAGCAGAGGGAAAGGATGGGGACGGGCAGGTGTCTTGTGCCTTTTGTCCAGTCTCAGAGTGTTATGCTGGCTGCTCGTGGGCATGACAAAGACATGTCCCACGTGTGGGGACATACCAAGGCATCTAAACATCAAGAGTATGAAAGTAAATGCATCTGACAAGAGACACCTTTCAAATTGCCAAGGTTAAAAACAAACAAACAAACAAACAAACAACCAACTTGGGTGAGAAGAGAAGTAATTTTAAAGCTGGGGGTTGTGGTGGGTGCCTGTAGTTCTTGTTACTTGGGAGGCTGAGGCAGGAGGATTGCTTGAGCCCAGGAGTTTGAGGTTGCTGTGAGCTATGACACTATCATGCTTTACCCTGGGTGATAAAGTGAGGCTTTGTCTCAAAAAAGAAAAAGAAGGATATAGAGAGAAGGAATTTAAAAATGAATGTGAAGCGCCTAGTGAAGATCTAGGGGAGGAGGTGATGAAAGACACTCACGTGCTTAATGAAGAGCTGTGCCAATCTGTCTTGCTCCTGGATGCACTTTTCCAGTTCAGCCAGGAAAAAACTAAAAGGAGAGAGAGGATAAGAGAAGGAACCACATATTTAGAACCATATTATTTCTCAGTGATGAGATAAATGGCACAAGACTCTCCCCAAACCCATCCCCTTAGGTCATCTGGTCATCCCCAGATGCAGGAAGAAGGCTTGAGAGCCCTTGGTTCCCCGGGCAGCATTAACACGTACTCCTTATGCCAGTCATAAATCTGATGAATGTTTCCAAACACGATTTTGTCCTTTCCTCTCATATCCTCAGGGACACCCTTTTCTTCTATTCTCTTCATGAAGCCCTGTAGCAGCAGAGGCAATGGTTAGTAGGTACTTTCACGAGAAGCTTTTGGGGCCAAGCCCCACCCTGCAGCACCCACATGAGCCCACGCTCTGGCCTGAGTTTGAGGGCAAGTGCTTCTGCAGCTCCTCACTATTCAACTAGGCCTTTACCCCTGTGCAGAGTGATAAACACAACTTTTATGAAGTTTCTAGGTCCTTTCCTTTGTCTCTAGGTCCTTCGGGAAAGCAGAACATGGAAGAAAACAATCATTTGTCCCTCTTCCCTTCTCCTAATCCAAATTGATCAGGTCTTTAAAAGCTTAGAATTGATAGCTCTGATCTAGAAATAAGTCTTAATATGTTAATACTTTATACTCTGTGATCATATACAATGTCATGTAAGCTTTAAAATTAGGTTTTGAGGTTGTCCAGATAGTATTTATCCTCATCTAACAGACGAGAAAACCAAGTCTCCCGGGTGTCAGAGACTTGTCTTATAATTCCCCCACTGACATCTGACTCTCTGGACTTCAGTCCCCCAGTCTCCAGACTTCTATGTCCTCTATTCCTATATCTGAGGTAGTTGTAACCCTTGCAGCCCTCAGATCCCCTAAAAGATAAGAATAACTTTCCTAAGTTAGAGTTCAGGTCCTCTATATATCAGGTTAGTTTGTTTATCCAAGGTTCAGAATAAGCAAATATAAAGCTCTAAGTGAGCAGATTTCATAGGCTGGGGACTTACAGGGCAAATGTAAGGAGCCAGCAGGCAATTTAGACATGGGTCATACAATTTTTAGTCTTCATATTCTTTCATTTAAGATAACTAACAATAGGGCTCTAAGCCACCTAAATTTTCCATTTACTATCTTAGGCTTTTTCATCCACTATCTATATCCCTCTGTAAAGTGAATCCCTATGAAGATAGAGCTGTTTCATTTATTATCGACTCTTCACTGTGGACCTGTCAATCTTGTTTATTGGTGGGGTTTTTTGTTTTTTTTTTTTTTTTTTGGCTGTCTTCTTGGTAGCTATATTATCCTTAAAATCTATGGAAATGTATAAGCTCCAAGATTCCACTAAGAGTGACCTGCTTTGTGGCCACAGTGGCCCATAGCTCTGAAGAATATATGATCACATGGTTCATTAAACAGCATGGAAAAGCTCTTAAGACAGTAACATGGTTCCCATAAACACAAGTATGAGCTTAGCTCTAACCTCAAGAGGCTTCTCCAAACATTGTAACATTTAGGTCCCTACCTCCCTCTAAATATCTCATAATATTTCAAGAGGAAAAGAAAAAAAATTACCTACATATTCCATTTGTGTTACTATTTTTATTTTCATTTTTGCAAATACTCAGAGTAAAATATATTAACCACCACATTAAAACTCCTTGGCCTTGGTAGGGTCCAATATGTTCCCAGCTGGGTGACACACCCCAAACCATCTCCTCACCTCCACCACAATCCCCAGATCCTTGACATAGTCTTTCTCCGTCTGCACCAGCTCATTCAAGACAAACCTGAGCAGGAGATTAAGAACAATGAGGGCTCATCTTCATTGTTAAGCAGAAACTCTCAAGGTCACAGGAAAGTTACTTTTGGCACCTTTATAACAAAACCACCCAAAAGACCCACATGTAGCACCCAGAAATGTGCTTACTGATGCTCTTTCTACAAGAGGCTCCACTTCAGACCTGAGGGCACCAAGGCTGGAAAGGCCTTCCCCAGAGACCACCCAACAGTCAGATGGGGAAAGGATGCTCATTGCCTACCACTCTTTTTCATTTCTTTAGTTATTTTTATTTCAGATTAATATAGTGGTACACACGATAGAGACTTCACCACTTTCGTGTTTACCTAGCATTCCACTTTCCACTCTTCATAAGCCTTTCTCCCTCTCTTGTAACAGCATAGCTATAAAGACACAGAGCAGAAGAATGACAAGCTCTCTGGCAAAACTGAGTTCTGTAAGCTTTGAGGCTGAGGCATCAACATGAAACTTTTATTCCTTCATTTCAACTCCAATCTTCATTTTAGAGGAGAGACATATTTGTCTGATAACTAACCTTTGAGGCCTCTGAAGGTACAGAAGCTATAATTATTCAGATAGGTATCCATGGTAACTGGCCTGGAAAATCCCCATTCAAGGACAGAAAGATTGACTGCAAACCCTCCAAAGTCACAACTTTGAACACAGCATTCCCTGCCCCAGGTGTAGGATTTAACAACTATAAGACATTTGCTTTCTTGGTCTCTTTCTTGTTAATCATTTCCCCTTCTTGAAGCATTTATTTACTATGTGCCAGTTACCTCAGCTGGGTCTTCCCATGTTTTCTAACAAGGTAGATATCATAAAACTCTATTTTATATGAATGAAAATGCTAAGGCAGAAAGGCTGGGTAACTTGACCATGATTACAAAGTGAGTTGCAGAGCTGGGATTTTAAACCCAGTTGTATCAGAATCCAGAGACTGTGCTCTTTCACCGCAGCCCACTGCCTGAGAAACTATTCAGGCCGGCTCTTTAGAGTTCCTGAAGGGTCAAACCCAAACATTCCCCTTTCTTTTTTCTGTCCAGATAGGAAAGGGATACACATAAAATGCTTATGGTTGTGCACAGGTCAGGGTAGGGTGTGCAACCTACTAGAGTCCGACTCTTATTATCTAATTTGAAAGAGTTTTGCCAGGAGCCACACAACTGCATTTTTGGCCCCAGTGCAGAAGGAAAAAAGTTCTGAGATGTCAAAGAGGGGACTCAGCACAAGGATTGTAATCATTTTGAACCCAGGAAACCATTCATCTGCAATTCTTGTTCTGCACAGCCCTGAGAAGCCACAAAAATCCCTGGGTCTGGGGCCTCAGGGCAGTGGGGAGGAAGCAAAGGAACACACTTGCTTTATCAGCATGCCCAATGCTTCCAGCTAGCTCTTTCTCTTGTACACAGACAATCATGTGTTTTAGGCCACAGGAAGGAACTGGCAAGGCCAAATAAAAGCATTTAAATATAGCTTTAGCATGGCCCAAGTTGCTGCTTGGAAGAAAGTGGTAAAAGAAAACCCACTGGCAAGTCAGAGCAGGAATTTGGGGCTGGGAGGGCCCTCTGGAGATGAAGTCCAGCTCTCTTGTCTCCAGGTGATATTTTTATCCTCAACTCTTTACTGATGAATGGGGGCTGTCTTAGGCTTGACAGACTCTAGGGAAGGGGACTGGTTGTACTAGGTACTGCTGGTGGACCTCACACCTCCTCCTTGAAAGAGACATTATGGCACACTAAAAGACATTCTGAAAAGTTACATCAAATCTTTAAATTATATGCATCATAATGCAGTACATAGTTAATTGTAATATAAATTACATTGATAATAAAGTATTTCTTTGATGGCCAGTTCCTATTAGTAAAAGTTATTTGTAAATAAATTCAATTCTCTGGTCCAACTAAAATTATTCCAGCTGCAGGTTAGACCCATCTCTAACCTCTCTCTTTCACAATGGTAGGGAATGGCTGGTCTTCCACAGAAAATCTTTTAGAGCCTTTGCTCTGGCTATTCCCTCTGCCAAGAATGCTTTTCCTCTGCTGGCTAATTCCTTACTCCTTCTGGCCTTTGTGCAAGTGCCAGAACTACTTAAACTACAATGTGGCCTTATCTAGATGCCTGATCTGCTTTACACTGATTTATTTTTTCTTCTCCCAGATTCCAACATAAAACAAACTTTATTTTATTGTCTGGTTTATCCCATTAGGATGTAAACCAGCCGTGACAGCAAAGACTTCTGTTGCTGTTTGTCTTATTAACTGATGTATCCCACTGATGGTACACAATATGTGTTCAATAAATGTTTGTTGAATACATGAGTGACTAAAAATTAAGAAGTTAAGTCCATTTTCAATTTTTTTTTTTTTTTTTTTGAGACAGAGTCTCACGCTGTCACCCTAAGTAGAGTGCTGTGGCATCATCATAGCTCACAGCAACCTCCAACTCTTTGGCTCAGTTTTTTCTATTTTTAGTAGAGAGGGGGTCTTGCTTTTTGCTCAGGCTGGTCTCAAGCAATTCACTTGCCTCGGCCTCCTAGAGTGCTAGGATTAGGATAACAGGTCTAAATTTTTGTTTGTTTTGTTCAGCAGGCCTAGGCTGGGTTTGAACCCACCAGTCCGAGTGCACGAGGCCAGTGCTATAACCACTGAGCTATGGGTGCCCAGCCCCATTCTCAACCTTTTTCCTTCTCCTGAACACATGACTATTTCTATAACTCTTTTCTCCCAGGAGCTCTCACTTAACCCTTTGATGTTTGACTGCCATCTTTTGGAGTGAGTCTCCATTCCTTATGCCTTTCAGTCTCTGGTCTCATGTGCATGGAGTTTACAACTAAATACCTATACATGTTTCTTCACAGCCATGATGGTAGTACAGCAGGATAGAAGAAAGATGATATACAGTAAAAGGAATGAGACATTCCAACAACTGCATCTTCAGGACAGCTCAGCATATGAAGAGGTGTAGATTTTGGCCAGAAGGAGGATAGGAAGGAGAGGTAAGTAAAGTGGGTAAAAGAAGCACAGATTTCTATTGTTTGTTATAGCAAAACTGCCAATAGCAGCCTGGACAATGGCTTAAATGACTACTCAAAGGCCCATTCAACCTAAATGACAAGAATAGTGACTAGCCTTGCCAAGGACCACCTGCTCCCTCAAAGGTCAACTCCTTGATATAAACCTGACAAAGGTTGTACCTCTCCAACCCTGCTTCACAACCTGAGATGCTAAGGAGGGTCAGCTTGGTGGAAGTCCAAGGAAATTTTCCCTTGGGGGTGGTATTTCTCAACCTCTCTTCCATTCCCCAACTTCTTAGGGTTTCCCCTGACACCTGTAAACTTGAAGGGATAAGTATGGAGTTACAGAGCTTATATACCACCTACCACCCCCATGATAAGGTGACAGCCCTGCTTTAACACCAGGCCCTCACTATGATTTTCCACTTCTGTTTCCTAGGAAACAAAGTCTTAAACATTCACTTTGTATATTTCCAGGCAACAGTAGGGCCTGGCCTTGCTTACTTTTTGCTAATTTTCATGTCTGTGACCAGGCTAAAGGAGCGACAAATGTTAAGCGAGAAGGGCAGGCTAATTAACAACAGGAAGAGACCCTTTATACCCGCCTACTTAATTATTCCTGTAGCTTAAAATTTCTTACACGTTGAGCTACGTCCAGACTCATTAGTAGCTCTGCTTCTAACACAGAGTCAAATCCTAAACAAGAAAACTAAAGTTTTGGAGGAGTTATGCTTTTCTATTAATGGTATCTGTTATCTCCTTTATCAGATCAAATAATACAAAACTGACTTTATATCAAGGTAAATAACTCAAATCTTGTATAACATAAAGGGTTTTATGAAACTAACTGTGCTGTGAATTGTATTTTACTGTTAACTCTTCAAAGTAGAGAAGAGGTTCTTTTGGAATGAAAACACAAATGGATGCAAAATGAAGACCCTTGGGCACCGAGTGGAGATAGGACCTCCACCTGGTGGTAGGACAGATCCCCTTCCCTATGCATCACTTTCCTACATTAGGGGAAATGTTTCCTCTAATGTAGGAAAGTGACTTCTATCAGATTGTCTGTAATAGTTAAGAATTCTCTGATTCTACAGGCCCATGGCAATAACAATCTTATAGTTTCCTTTTGTTGTTTTCTTCTTGTCACCATGTTTTAAATTTCAAACAGACCTTGGTTATTACCACACTTTTTCAATAGCAGTTGCTGTATCACAGAATATACTTTGGCATAAACGTCCTCAAATTAGTGCCAAGTAGTTCAATACTGATCAGGGCTACGCTGTACAGCTCTGGGACACTTTTACTTAGAATGAATGTTATCAGAGGAAACACAGTGTGGGGAACCCCTCTCTAATTGCCCCCAACCCTTGCCCATTGTCCACTGCACATGTGTGCACCAGGCTGGAATCTAGGGGAGTCACTTACATTCTGCCTCTCAGGGCTTTGGCTTTCTGTTCTTCTTCCAAGTTTCTAGGAGGTGTGGGGGGAGCCATCCCCTCATTCAGGCAGCCGGCAGGGTCCTTCAAGCTCCCCCGGTATGAACCTCCTTCTAGACTCTAAAAAGAGAAGAATAAACAGTCTTAGAGAAGTGTACACTGAAAAGGCAGTTGGACCTGTGTTCCCCCCAGCCTAGCCACAGACAACTTGGAAAATCAGTAGCCAAGGCTGTTCTCACCAAATTATATGAAGCACCAGAGACAAGAGACTTCACCCTCCTGAAGCAGGGAGCCCTGGACTGTCACCTTCTCGGGCAACCAGGATGTACTTGGCATCTGTATGCTGCCAATTTCTGGGACACCCATGAAATTGTCAAAGTGACTACTCTGGGTAGGAAGAGCTCCAGAGATAAAAGTAATTATCGCAATTCAGTACCAAATAAGCATTTAGAAAAGAACATGGGTTGCTGGACCATCAAATGCAAATTGCCAAGGGTACAGCAGTTAGAGGAGAACTAGCTCAGAAAAACTGTGCTTTGTTAAAGCAGCTACCATTCTTTTGAAGAGGCCAGTGAGTGTGGATAAGAAGTCAATAAATTTAGCAATTTCTGAAAATACCTTTGCTAAAGTTATTTACCAAAGGCTTTACTTCACTTAATCCATTTCATTTCTTTTAATTAAGGCGCTGCAGGATTGAGAAAACAAGTTGGAAGGATTAATATGGTCTCCAGAAAGAGCTATGGGTAAAGGAACCTACATCCTGATCCCAGGTCTGCTAGTCACTGGATGCGCTTATGTGAAACAACTAAAATTGTTCTATGCTTCAGGTTTTCTCAATATTCAAATCAGATATTCCCTCTTTACCAATTTCTAAGAAACTGGTAAACTGACAGATGATAGTTGTATAATCCCTTTGAAAAATTAAAAATGCCCTACAATGGTTAGCTCTCTCCCCCATAGATGTTAGAACTGTTGACAATAAAAAGTCTCCAAATGAAGTTAATCTTAATATTTTTACAAGTGCCATGGATGAAGGACCAGGTAGTGACCCTTAAGAATTGGCAAACTATTCAGTCAAAAAGTTAAGATAAGATATCGAGGTCAAGTACGTTACAGATAATGGGAAACAATCCAAACTGTTCTTACGAGATGCCTGTCTACCCCAGCTATTGCGGCTGAAAGGAAAGGTTTCATGTAGTGGTCTTTGAAAACATTAGCCCTAAGGTTTAAGTCACAAAAAACAAAAAGTGCCGTCCAGTAAGGAGAAAAGGCTGAAGCCTGGCTTTAAGTGATCTGAACCTGGAGTATTTGTCACAAACTCTCCTAGCTGCTGTATTTCAACATAGGCTAAACAGGTAGAAAAGAAAGGTCCCGGAAAATGAAACAGAAAGCGAATAAAGATGTCTGATGGGCCATTATCTGAGAAAAGATAGAGAATATTAAGACTTGAATCTGAAAAACTTTTTTTTTTCTGTTGCAGTTTTTGGCCAGGGCTGGGTTTGAACCCACCACCTCCAGCATATGGGGCTGGCACCCTACTCCTTGAGCCACAGGTGCCGCCCGAATCTGAAAAACTTAATGCTGAGAAAATATATCAAACAACTTCTTCTGCCCTCTTAATCCTCAAGTTGACAAAATGTACCAAAGGCCAAACATGAACTATCAATGCTGTAAATGAGAATTAAGAGGACAGGGTCTTCACACTCAAGAGAGATTTCTTTTAACTTAGGTTAAAGATATCTACAGAACAAGTAATCGGCCATGGAAATTGTTAAATTCAGAGCAGCAATATAGGCTAAAAATATAGAAAGGTCAAGAAGGGTTTAGCTAAATTTATAGATACAGGATCTGTAACCTGTTATTAAGGAAATGAGAGTGTCTGGTGCTGAGGCTTGACAAGCCAGCAGACAGGCAGGCTTTTCAGTGACATGTCCCCTGGTGCCATCACCACAGACAGGCTCCAGGCCAGTGAGCCCAGCTGGTGACTGATCTGATTACACGCCTTTTGCTTCCCTCCAGCTCTCCCCTGTTGTAGTCTTTGTTCTGCAGCCTGTTGGTTGGTAGCAGGGTGACTACAGGCCTGGGGAGCAGGCCTAGGTGACTCTCCCCATGGAGCACTCCGCAGGTGTGGTCCACGCTCAAGTTTTGTACAGAATGAAGAATACCTGAAGAGTCCAATGCGTCACACAGAAAAATAACTAACATTTCCTCCTACTTGGCCTGTTCTCTAAGTAAAGCAGCCTAAGTTATCTCTAGGGAAGGACTTCCCTATCTCTAGAGAAGGAAATATAGGGTCTGGCTAAGGTACAGGGGCTGAGTGGAAAGTATCCAGTCATTGTCAATACTATTTCTCATGTTATGTGGCTGGCTACTTTCTAGACAACATGCATTCTGGGTAGTCTGCTCCAAATGAAGGGCTTGGCTATAATGCTTATAGTATTTCTCTAAGGACTCAGCTGCCTATGTTAGAGTTGGCATACTGGGCTCCAACTAAGGGCAACTAGGGTTGACCTGCAATTGTCTTTGCTGTTCCTAAGAGAAAAAAAGGCAGTGGCAGCCAGTTTTCTGCCACAGTGAGGACTTCTGCCCCCCACTTGGGGCTTGCTTAGGGCCACAATAGTCTCTGCAGACAAAAAAAAAAAAAAAAGTATGAGGACAGAGCAATACATGTCCCTATCATCAGTCCAAAGCCAGGGAACAGAAGCATCAATAGACCCAAGCAGATGAAATGTGCAGAAAGGCCATCCCTGTGTTTAAAATGAATATGTGTTCTGATTGCTGGACCTGGGATCACATACCCATCACATGCCCTTCCCCTGGGCTCCTATAAGCACTCTTCACACTCCCAACAGCATTCATTACACAGTACTGTCATTGATTATTTTTGTATTCAAGCAGATTTTTATTGGACATCTACCACATGCTAAATATTTGCAGACTGCTGGAGAAAAGCAGATGAAATGAGGATGTCCTTCACAATCTAAGCTATAGTGGCTGCTCTTCTAGATAGAAGGGGTACCATGAAGAATAAACAAAAGCAGCAGGCAGCTCTAGGGGGCAATGGATGAGGCAATGATTTACTGAGTATCAAGAAATGGAAAGGAAATCCCGTAATGGCATAAATGTATCTATGATATAGGTACAAATGACTTAATTAAAAAAAAGAAATGAAAAGGAGTTCATCAGCTACTCCAATGGGAGGACGTTCCAGGCAGGAGTAGCCCTGGGTAAGGGTCAAGATGAAACTACCTGGAGCAGCCTGACAAGCTGGAAGTAGTCTGGTGTAGGCAGAATATAGGGAGCGAGGGAAGGGGATTGGCAAGTGACCCTGTTCTGTGAATTGGGGTGAGTGGGTCCCAAAGAAGGAAGAGGTAAGGAATAAAAACAGGATCGTGGAAGACCAGGCATGGAGGCTCATGCCTGTAATCCTAACACTCTGGGAGGCCAACGTGGGTGGATTGCTCACTAATTCAAAAATAGGATCATGGAGAAGTTGCAGGGACCGAATCATAAAGAATCTTGACTGTGGCATTAAGCAGTAGAACTTTAACCTTCTAAGACTATGATAGGAGAGTTTTAAGCAGGGAAATAAAATGCTTGGATTTAAATTTTTGAAAGATCAGTTTTAATGTTCCAAAGAACTTTTATAATTTGGAAAAATATATCTGATGTGATAGTAAAGGAAAATAGAACTTAAACTTTAAATACTCTGTGATTAACTACATTATTTTTAAAAGGGTCTGGAAGAAAATATACCAACATTTCAACATTCAATATGACTAGATGATGACTTATGCTTCTATTCTTGTCATTTTTCCAATTCTTTCTGAATAAGCATATATTGCTTTTATTAGTCAGAAAAGAACTATTAAAATGTTTTTTTTTTTAAAGAAAAAGATAGATCCCTTTAGCAGTCTAGAGAGATGTCTGACTAGAATCTGGGAGGAAGTTGTTCCTAATAGTCCAAGCAGGAAAGAATTTTGAGCATGTACCCGAAACGGCAAGCTCCTCATAAGGAAGGTCAGGCTCTATGTTTAATCTCGAAGCCTGGTGTATAGGAGGACACTGAGAATTTATTGAATAGTGAGAACTCTTGGGGAGGGATCAAAGCTCATGTGATAAGGCAATGGGTAAGTTGGCTGATCCAGCACCACCCACCACCTTTTAGCTGCTGTTTTATAAAAATTTGTATATCACGCCTGTTAGGATGGTTATTACTAAGAAACAGAGATAAGAAATGTTGGCGAGTATGTAAAGGAAGTGGAACTCTAGCACACTGTTGGTAGAAATGTAGATTGGTGTAGCCTTTATAGCAAACAGTATAAAGGTTCCTAAAGAAACTAAAAATAAGACTACCAGATGAGCTAGCAATGCCTCTTCTAGGTATACACACAAAGGTAATGAAATCAGCCCTTTACAAAGATGTCTGTACCTCCATGCTCAACATTATTTACAATAGCTGGGATACAGATATGAAAACAACCTAAGCATCTGTTGATGGATAAAGAAACTGTAATGTACATATATATACACATACACACAAGGGAATATTATTCAGCCTTTAAAAGGAGATCTTGCCATTTGCTACAACATGGAGGGACCTAGAGGACATCATACTACATAAAACAAGCTAGACATACACAGAAACATATTACATGATCTCACTTATATGTAGGTCTAAAAAAAAACAAAGTTCAAAATAAAATACAGTAGAACCCCTGTAAGTTGACAATCCAAGGAGCTATAACAAACTGGTCAACATACATAGGTGGGCAACATAAGGAACTAGGCCTACTGTTTAATACCTACATGTGGGGCATGTCCAGTCTATGAAAATTAGGTCAACTTAAGGAGGTGGTCAATGTAGGAAGGTGGTCAGCTGTGGAGGTCCTACTGTATACAGCAACCAGGCATGGTGGCTCCATACCCATAATCTTAGCACTCTGCAGGTAGAGTTGTTTGAGCTCAAAAGTTTGAGACCAGTCTGAGCAAGAGTGGTCTACTTTACTAAAAATAGAAAAAGTTGCTAGGGATGATTGTGTAAGTCTATAGTCCTAGCTACTCAAGAGGCTGAGGCAAAAGGATCATTTGAGCCCAGGAGTTTGAGGTTGCTGTGAGCTTTGATGATGCCACTGCACTCTACCTAGGGTTATAGATGAGACACTGTCTCAAAAAATAAATAAATAAAATGAAATAATATAGGAATAGAAAATAAGAGGGCAGGGGGTGGGATGGTAAGGAATTGGGGAGATGTACAGTTCAGAGGATACAAAGTAGTAGTGTGACTGTAAAGCACCAGAGGCAGCTTTGGGACACAGGAGTTCTCCTGCCTTTGAATGGAGCTGGGGATCAAATAAATTCTTTTTTTTTTTTTTTTTTTTAGAGACAGAGCCTCAAGCTGTCCCCCTGGGTAGAGTGCCGTGGCATTACAGCTCACAGCAACCTCCAACTCCTGGGCTCAAGCGAGTCTCCTGCCTCCGCCTCCCAAGTAGCTGGGACCACAGGCGCCCACCACAACGCCTGGCTATTTTTTGGTTGCAGCCGTCATTGTTGTTTTGGCGGGTCCAGGCTGGGGATTCGAACGCGACACCTTAGGTGTACGTGGCTGGCGCCTTAGCTGGTTGAGCTATAGGTGCCGAGCCCAAATAAATTGTAAGTGGAGAATTTGGGGCCATTACGTGAGCAGCCAGTAAAGAAAGCAGACAGACTCTAAGCTCTAGATTAAAGTCTAAACAGGCCAGGCACAGTGGTTCATGCCTCTAATCCCAGCACTTTGGGATGCTGAAGCAGGAAAATCACTTGAGGCCAGGAAATGAGACCAGTCTGAAACAACATAGCAAGACTCCATTTCCACAGAAAATACAAAATGTTAGCTGGGCATTGTGGCACACTCCTGTAGCCCCAGCTACTCAGGAGGCTGAGGCAGGAGAATCATGTGAGCCCAGGAGTTTGAGGTTATAGTAAACCATGATGTCACCCCTGCAGCCTAGCCTGCACAAAAGTAAAACTGGTGTCAAAGAAAAAAAAAGTCTAAGCATACCAGATGCTCCTGTAAAATGGAATCTGACTCTGCAAGGCAGGAAGGACTTCATCAGTTCTTTCTTGAACTAAGAAAACTCCCACCTAACGTCTAGGTTCCACCACTCTGCAGCAACAGAGTCAACCCTTCATTCCCACAGCAAGCCTTCAATTATTAGATGACAGCTCTCCTGCATCTTCTCCTAGCTCTTCCTTGTATTTAACCGTGGTTTCTTCACCTTTCTTTTAGATGACATGAATCTTGTGGTCTTGTTATCACCTCTGGGCCCCTCCAGTTTGTTTAAGAACATTTTAGAATGTTGCATTTAAAACACAATCCATTACACACACACCTCATGACAGGTGTGGTCTGAATAGCTCTGAGTAGAATGAGACTATTACTTCTCTTGATCTGCACAGTAACCAAGTCTATGATAATACTGGCTATTCTGACAACCATCATAGTATTGTATTTAATCAAATAAATACTCCAGACTTTTAAGAGCTCTAGATCGTTTCTTCTTCTAAACTAAAGGGACAGGAATGAGATCTTGGGGTTACCAAACGTGGCTGAGATAGTCCCAATCTACTGCTGCTCCATTGCTACCTCACAGCTGGATGAGAAGAAAGAGAAGGCAGGAGAGAGGACAAAGAATCAAATTTTACTGAGATGATCCTAAGAAAGAAAATCACTGCTTCCTCACTACTTTTAGTGATCTCTGTATCAGGGCTTGGTTTTGTGTGTTAAATCAAAGAAATCTCTACATCTGGTCTTACAGTAGGTCCTCAGGTGTAGTTATTGCTGGAAGAAGTTAAAGCTCTCATTACAGTATACTCATCACAGAAAGGACATCCCACTCAATAGACATGTATTGAGGCTCTGCTATAAAGCTAGTCAATTCCAATACCATCTCACACACTCCCTCTTCATGGGGAAATTTGTTTTAATGGGAATTCTCAATATTTTCACTCACATATTTAACATTAAACCCATTGATCACACAATTAGAGGCCCTAGAAGATTCTCAATAGTACAAAAATTAGCAGTAGTAATAGTAAGAAAAAGGTAATCCAAAGTATAAACAAATATAGACCTTTGGAAAAAAGTATCCACAAGGAAGCCAGTAAGTATAAAAGGCTCTTATATGCTTGTGGAGGGAAAATAATAATGTCCTAAACGACTTACCATCTAGCTGGAAAGTCTAACTGCAAATACTGAGCTATTTTAACAACTAACATAACAGAGCCACCTAAGAGCTGTCCCCGGGTGCATGTGGCTTTAGCAATTACCATGTGATTACAGAGGAAATTTGGTCAGGGCTGGTCAGAAGTGCCCTTGTGAAGAGACGAAATTTGAGTGGGACCTTGAAGGACCATTATGTTCTAGATAAGCAAAAATAAGAGGGAGAATGTTCCAGAGAAGTGGGGTGGTTTGAACAAAAATTTGGAGGAAGGAAAGCCACATGTGTGTTTGGAGATAGGGAGGAAAACTGGTTGGAGCAGAGTTTATCAACCAGCATCATAAGCAGGTGCTGGAAAGGTAGATTGGAGAATAGGCCGCAAAATATCAGAATCCTGGGGTAAGTGTGGACTTTATTTATAGGTCTGTGATTTCCAAACTTTGATGACACCGGTGAATATAATTTTGTTTGTGCATCCCCAAAACGTGCAACTTATTTATAAATTATGTACCTGAGCTACCGTACTATTATTACAAACCTAACAAAATGTACGCAAAACATTTTAAAACATTGATATAAGGACATGCAAATATTTTCTTCCCAGATCCCAGTAAAGCACATAGAGACCTTGTGTGTAGGGAAGAGGGAGACAGTGAGCTGCAGCAAGGAGGCAGGTGGCAGGCAGTGCTTGTGGAAGAATGACGGGGAGAATGCGGTGTCAAGGCAGACAGGGGGGGGAAGAGAAAACAGCAGCTACTGGAGAAGTCCAGGCACAAGGTCAGATAGTGAAAGAGAAAATACGAAAGAAAGGACAATTTTAAGAAAAAAAAAGAAAGATGATACTTAGAAAATGAAGACAGTGTGTGGGTCAGCATGGAGAGCAAGTGAGGAGGAGCCAAAAAGGGGTCCTTTGAAAGTTAACATAGTGTCCACAGGAGCACTTACTCCCACTGGCAGGACAGGTAGAGAGGGCAGGAAAATGGACAACCTTCAGGAGTTTCACACCAGTTGCGAAAAACTGCAGCTTTTTTTTTTTTTTTTAATTAGGAAGGAAAATTTAGAAAGAAAAGAATAAAATCACATGTATTAAATCTGATTTGTACCCTGTAGGCTGGGATATCTGAAAAGGGGGTTACTGTAATCAAAATTTCAGGCAGCTTTCCCTAGAGAGCATCCATCTTGTCCTCTAATTCCTGGGCCAGGTGGAGAGGGTTTAAATGGCTCTAACTAACAAGACTTCCCAGCAGAAGTCTGCCGGAAGCAGACATTTATCCTAATGAGGATTGCAAGAGAAGCCAATGAGTGACTCGGATGAGAGTGAAGGAAGCATTTCCTAAAATGCTTCAAACTGTCATCCCACAGGGAAGCACTCAATTGTAAAAGCACAGGAGAGGAGCAGCAGCTTTATCCTAATGAGCTCTCCAGAAAGGGCTCTTCACCAGCGTTATGCCCAAATCCCAAACCAGCTCAGACGCGCCACCCTTCCCAGCACACTGAAAGTGTGCTGATTGGAACATTAGATAGTCACAAGCTAGACTAGCTGTCAGTGGTTTACATGCACCTTTCCCCCCATGATGGGGATATGCACCAGCTCTTTGAATTTTTTTGAGAGCTATCCACACACTTTTGCCCACGTTTATAATCATCAGTGTACTTCTGTAAGACTTTGTAAGCTAGAAGGCTTTCTGAAGTTCCAAAAGAAAATTTCCTGGTGTTTCTTCCAAAGATCCAATCTGAGTTCTGTGTCTCAGCTGCACAGCACATCAGCTTTAGTGCTAACCAGACAATGCTCAGTCACAATCTGGACATCATCTGGCTAAAGGCAACTGCACCAAGCTCACGGTGAGGCTAGTTTGTCTTGGATACTTTTCATCTTGCATCAGCATCGCAGCTCCCAAGTGGCCTGTTCATTTCCCATGCACATTCCCAAACAATGCCAAAAAAGACTTTGGGGCACAGGTTTTTAGCAGTCATCATCAGCTGGAAATAATCCCACAGGAAGCACAAGGATAGGTGCAAAAGAGAAGACAGCAGACAGATGCAAGGCCTTGAGAGCCGCACGGAGGTACGATACACACAGGACTGTCTCCAGGACCCCCACTTACCAGCTTGCTTTTGACCAACTTTTCTATTGCACTGACAAGGTCTGCAGCAGTAGGTACTTCAGTGGAAGCCTGCCGGGCTGCTAGCAAAGAGGAGGACTGCAAGACAGTGAGCAGCAAAGGAAAAGCAGATTAGCAAGGAATGAGGAACAGTGATTAGGAAGCAAAATAGAAAGTCCAAAGCTCAAGGCAGGTGAGGGAAGCAAAGCTCTAAGTTGAGAGGCAACAGAGGGAGATGGGTGTAGGGTGAGTGTGGGCCAGGCCTGCCCAACCCTTTGTCAGGAATGCTTGCCAGCAGCAAAGCATGTGGATGGTACTAGGCTCTCCTTAGGCCTCCAAAGGAGCTGAGAGGAGGGTCACTGAGTTCCTAGGCAGCCAATAGGTGAGGGCGGCACCTACAGACAGCAGTGGGGTGGTGAAAGGTGACTGCGCTGAGGGCAAACAAGACTTTGGCCACTACACAACAGCCTATTGTTGCTCCAGGATATGAAGGATTCAATAAACGAGGCTTGAGAGTGTCCAAAGACGAGAAATAGTCCTTGCTTTCCTCCAGCCTTCGACATAGAACTATATGAGGTGTCCAGCAAAAATGATAGGGGTAGGGCCCTTAGAGACCAGCAAGCCAGACACACTCCCCACATATTCTTTCCCTCCCTCCCTCCCTCTCTCTCACTGCCCCCTCTTCTTTCTCTCTCTCTCTTACACACACAGACACATACCCCTACTTCCACAAAACATAGCCGGCCCTGATCAGGGACCCTGAATTGGAACACTAGGAAATAATAAAGGGCCTTCTCAGGAGCAGTGTGTCACGTGCCCCAGGAGCCAGGGCCAGTCCTGCTCACAGTAAAGAGGGTGCCACTAAAGGACCTCACTGTGCCCCGCTTCCCCTCATGAGCAACAAGGACTTGCCCATGTGGCAGTTTGGTTAATGGTTTAGGGATTTCTGCTCACTGAGGGATGGTGGGGTTTTGATTGTTTTGTCCTTCCTTCTTCTACCTTAAAAGAAGTTGGGGAAGAAATGGTTAACCCCACAAAATTATGTGTGCACTTTTACCCCAGGCTTATCAGAGCAGAGGGCGGTGGTGTTCCCAGGGCCAGGACACAGGCTCCCTCGGTCTGCAGCAGTGATAACTGTGGGTGTAGAGGTTGAATGTCCCGGCCTTGCTCTGACTTCAAGTTTGTGCCTTAGGTTAGGGGAAGATTTTCAAAAACGAAGCTTCTTGTCTAATCTAAGAGTTACTTTAAGTCTTTGCTTCTGAGATGGGGGTGGGGGAGGAAGGAATAATTGTAATTAAGAAAGACACAACAATACACTTTTTCTTCTACTGGGGAATGCAGGAAAAACTTAAGTCTGTGTGGAAAACCAAGTTATCATCTTTTTATTCTAATAATCCTATTTCCAGAAACTTATTCCAAGGACAAAGTCAAAAGAACAATGCAAAAAAGAAAAAAAAAAAAAACCAATGCAGATGTGATCTGTACACAGCAGTATTATCCAGAGTAGCAAAGACTGCAAACACCCTGCTAGGAGGTCCCAAACACCCTGTTAGGGTGTCCCAAAGGATGGAACATCAAACAAATAAAACATTCTGCAGCTATTAAAATTATAGTTATGAAGGTAAAATTAATAAGATTTCAGGAAATTATAGTAAATAGCAAACAAAAGAGTGAACATGGCATACACATACTATATATAATTGTAAAAATAAACATACATGCACATGGGCAAAGACTAGAGGAAATAAGGAGAATTAAAATAATTCTACAACATCACAATGGGTGAACTTTTAAAAGTTCCTTTTACGCTATTGTAAAAATTCTTTTAATATATCCCACTGTATTTGCTAGAAGTTCTGAGGTTCATACTGCTCCCAAATATTCTAGAAAAACAGAATGTGCAGGAACCAAATAAGCAGGACTGAGGAGAGTTAATGTGTCTAAAAAGAGATTGTTGGCACCTACCCTATTTCTAGGGAAGAAAAGGACTGCGTGAATGTCTGTGGGGAAGTCAGCATTCTCAGTTAAAGATTATCTAGAAACAACGTAATGTCCTTCTCCCCCAAACAAGTTATGTTTGAGGGAATTAGACAAGGTTTGTGACCTTTGCTTATCTTATGCCAGCTGGGCCCTCTGTGGGGAGGGCAGTTAGGGACACAGGGGCACCTGCTCCCCAATCCTCTATCACTGTTTATAAAACATTTCACAACAGCAGGCCTCTGGGAACACAATGGGCTGCCTCTTGCTTTCATCTCAAGGTGAAGCACAGGCATTTCTGCCTCAGGAATCCGGGATGGCATAATGCCACGCTTCTCACTATGTTTCTTCCCAACAGACCACAGTAGAGAGCTGGCCTTGGAGATGGGGGCCACCAACATCACCTCAGGATGGGCCACAACTGGGTGAGTCACATGGAGGGGTGGCAAGCTGGCATATCTCAGTCATCAGTCTGTCCCCAGACTTGTCCCTCCAGCCAGCATAGAGGAACACCTGACTAATGTCTATGGGTTAACAATTTCAACACAAAGCAGAAAGAATTAAAAGAAGAACTGAGATGTCACCAGGAAAGCTGCCACTTTGGCAGTCAGTACTTTTGGAATCGCATCCTAGGTGGTGATTTAAAGGTTTGTTTCCTTCCTGCATTTACTGGGCCCACCACCTTGAAGGAGGCTGCCCCACTACAAGGCAGAGAGCCAGAGAGCCCAGGAGAGGCTGGAGGACAGCAAGGCCAGCGACCACTGTCACCACCACTGCAACTATAACAAGACAAAAATGACACTCAGAAATGCAATGGAAAGTAGAATATGATAAAAAACCGAAGCTACCCTTCAATGTTCAGAGTTCAAAAGAATCAGTGGTACTTAAGGAAGGAAAAAACCACACATACACACCAGCACCCCTCATGTGAAAGAATGGCTAGAAGGGAAGTGAATGACGGAGAATACAAAGCAGCTCTAAGCCTCAGGTCAGTACCCAGAAGCATGTCCAACCTAAGCCTCTGCTCCAGAACAAGTGGGACAGTTATCAGATAATTACAGACGCAGAGGGCATCGTCATTCAGATTCCAGCCAGCCTCTGTGTGCCAGTGAGCCAGGGAATTATACAAAGCAAAGCTGAGCAACACAGCGTGTCAGGTTTGCTCACTTTTGACAATAACCTCCCCTTAGCAGCATCTCCATCCTTCAATGCTATAACTGCAAAATTCTAACAGTACTGGGCTTGACTAGAAGTTACCATTATTGAGATTTTTGAGTTGAATGTACGGAAAATGACTAAAATGTAGGTTGTACAGTCAGGTACAAAATAGTTGCAATCTGGAACCACTGCAGATTCCTTTTTGATATAAAGTACCAAATCCTAAAATAGTTCCTTTTAGAATCTGCTGGTTCCAAAGACAGAGCCATTACCCTTTGTCAAGATGATACCAAGCAGATTCCCACTTTCAGAATTCTATACCCGCCCCCCCAACACTGCCCAGAATGAAGTCACACCCCCAGGATTGGGGGAGAGGACACCTATCAAATCCAGACAGAATCTATATTATCACGGTTTCATGTGGAGTAAGAGATACCAAGGAGAAAAGAGCCTTCCTACCCCATCATACACATATAAAAACAAATAAACATGCATTTCTCTTTCAGGTAAAGGAGTCAAGAAATTCTACCATTTCATCCTGTGTGGGGTCATTGTCAAAAATCTTCATAGGCGGAGGGAGAGGAGTGTGTGATTCTTCATCTGGCTCATCTTCACCCCAACCTTTCTTGCTCTTCTAGAACAAAAGAGCAGCATCAGTTACTGGTTCACAAAGCTAAAATATCAATGGTTCTGGACTTGACATTGGGAAAAAAAAAAGTATAAGAGGAAGGTTCCTCTCTCAGCACACCTCTCTTTTCAGCTGCAGTTTCCTCCTCTGTAATATGGACACACCTGCTCATCTCAAAGAAGAGTAAGGTACAAAATGGTTACAGTCTGGAACCACTGACCAAAGAGGGGATGAGCACACACACCAAACAACAAAAACAATGTGTATTGCTGATTAGACAGGAAATGAGAAAGCTGGGAGTAGTCAGAGAGAACCTAACTTTTAAATTGTTGTAGGGCTATTAACCGCAATCCAAATGTCACTGGGCTCTACTGCCATTTCTCAGAGGGAGAAATGACAGATAGCATAAAATTATAACATGAGGGAATCTGGTTACACATCAGGAAGGATTTCTTAGCCACATCAGTGACCAGAGTGACTAGTTTGCCAGATAAAACAGGTATCTCATTTCCCTAACCAAAACATGCCCACTGTATTTTGATCGTAGACTCTCAGCTTCAGAAGTCATCCAGCCCAGCCTCCCAGCTAACCGGGGGACCTCTCTGACTGTGCTATGAGGTCACACAGCCTCTCAACCCTTCCAGTGTGGGTGATTATTAGTTCTCATGAAAGGTCATTTCATCACTGGTTAACTCTCCATTAAAATTTTGCTTTAAGTTGAAACTGCCAATTGTAACTCTTGTCTGTTAATCATAGTTCTCTGGAGAACCTGGAATTGTCTACTCCTTTTTAGAAATGGCACCACTCAAGCTACTTGTAAACAGCTGCAATCCCTAAGAATGGCCTTCTAGTTTCTTTAAACAGGTCTGGCCAGTTATGGTGTTATATATGGTTCTCAGCAGAGGCAGGGAACTAGTGACTAGCTGACTCCCCTTAGGCCTAGGCTCCTATCTCCAAATCTGGCAAAATAGTTTCTGTCTACTCATGGTAGGTGTCCAACCTATGGCCTGAGGGCCTCATGCTGAGTTTTTGAGGGTTTTTTTTTTTTTTTCCTTATCTGTGGTGGAGGCTATCACAAAAAGTATGAATGGATCTTTTTTTGCTAATAGCTTTCCTCAGTGTTTCTGTATTTAATATGTGGTCCAAGACAACTCTTATTCCTCCAATGTGCAGCAGAGGAAAAAGAAGAGGTTGGACACCCCTGGACCATTGTATGTTCTAGGGACAGTCAGTCTCTGAATTTGTCACAAATCAGATGGGCCAAGGTTTTGAGAATAAGAAGAACTCAAATCACCTAGGCCCCCACTGCTGGGGACTAGAAACTCCCTAGTTCAGGCATCCTCAAACTACGGCCTGCGGGCCACATGCAGCCTGCCTAGGACATTTATCTGGCCTGCTGGGTGTTTTTGCTGCCGCTGCCTGTCCTGCTTAGCAGCCAACTCATCCCAGGGCCTGCAGTCTGGCCCTCCAACGGTCTGAGGGACGGTGAACTGGTCCCCTGTTTAAAAAGTTTGAGGACTCCTGGCCTAGTTCACCATGCTGTGGAAGGAGGCACGACAGGGTCCCCTCTGGCCCGTGCTTAAGTACCTCATCAGCGCTGTCTCCCTGAGGGGTTGTCTCATCCCCAGGCTTGGGAGATCCCAGGTCGAAGCTCTTCCGACCATCTCGTACTTTCTTCTGCTTTTTGATGTTCCCGTCTGTTTTCCCACTGTTGAGCCGACGCACAGGACTTGTCAGCCACTTTTTAAGGGTGTTGGTGGAGCGCTTGGGACCAGGAGAACTGTGGATAGAATTCAGAGAGGGCTGGGCCTGCAGATTGGCCACTGACTCGGACTTGCCTCCGTTTTCACTTGAGGAATGAGAGTATGCATCTGAGGAAAAAGAACAGACAGACATGACTGTGTCAGAGACCATTAAGGCAGGCTGCCAACCCAGGCATAAGACAGCTCCATCCTTAGGAAGCCAGACACAAGGCAGAATGTCAAGGCCAGTTGCAGACCCCGGCCAAGGGAACCCTCTCCAGAACAGTAGTTAAGAGTCAACACTCACTCAAGTTTTAATATGTGAGGCACCATTCCAGGTGCTATGGATACTGGAGTGTGCAGAAGACAAAGACCCCTGCTTTTATGGAGTTCATATTGTAGTGGAAAACCTATAACAGACTATAATGATAACAAAATCAGTAAAATGAAAAGTATGACAGATGGTGGGAAGTGCTATGTCAAAACATGAAGTAGGGGCCAGATGTAGTGGCTCTTGTCTGTAATCCTAGCACTCTGGGAGGCTGAGGCAGGAGGATCGCTTGAGCTCAGAAGTTTGAGACCAGCCTAAGCAAGAGTAAGACCCCATCTCTAAAAAAAATAATAATAATAAAGTAGGGAAAGAAATTAGGAAATGCTGGAGTAGAAATAGGGGCTGCAAATTGAACAGCTGGTCGGGGCTCATGACACACATGTGAGCAAAGCCCTAGGAGTGGTAATGAGAAAACCACATAGCCATCTGGCAAAGGGCTTTTCAGGCAAGCAAAAGAAGAGCCAAGTCCTGAGATAAGACCTGGGGGTTGTGTCTGGCAGGGCTTGAGTGAAGTAAGCAAGGGGAAGAGCAGTAAGAAAGGAGTCAGAAAAGCAGCCATGTGCTGGGCCATTGAGGGCATGGCGAGCCCGTGTCATGCTTTTACCTTGGAGCGAAAATCTATTGAAAGACTCTGAACCATAATGACACAATCTGACTTACACTTCAGAGAGTCATTCTGATTTCTACATTGAGGATAAGGGAAATAGGAGACTGGCTGAGGCTACTGGACAATTCTAGGTGAGGGATGTTGCTGGCTTAGAGCAGGTGGTACCAGTGGTTGTTAGGCATGAATGGGTTCTGGATATGTTTTGATGGTAGGGGCAATAGGATTTGCTGACAGACCATGCATGCGATATGAAGAAAGAGGAGTCAGGAGTAACTCAGGTCTTTGTCTTGAACCATTAGGTTGGAGTTCCTGAGATGCAGAGGACCATGGGAAAAGTGGAATTGGGGGTGGGAAAATAGGAGTTCAGTTTTAGACATCTTAGTGGTGTCCATTAGATATGTGAGTGGAGAAGTTGAAGAGCAGCTTGATATCAAGCCTGGCACTCAAGAGGAGAAAGTGCTGGTGAGCTGGAGCTAAATGAGGAGGTGTCAGTGTAGAGCCAGAGTTGGAAGTTAGGAAGCTGGATGAGATCACCAAGGGGCTACGGATAAATAGGAAGTCCCAGAACTAAGCCAGAGGAGAGTGATGAGATGACAAGGAAGTGGCCGGTGAGGCAGGAAGAAACCAGGAAGTGGGGTGTCCTGGAGGCTAAGTGCTGAAGACGTCTCATGGAGGAGGGAGGAATCGGCTGTGCCAAAGGCAACTTGATAGGTCAAGAGGGCTGACCTTAGAATTAAGGCTTAAACTTAGCAATGGGGAAGTCTGTGATAATTTTGAAAAAAGCAGCTGTTGTGGGATGGAGAGGGCCAAAGCCTGATTAGAGAGGGTGCAGGGGAATGGGAGAACAACAAAGGTATACAGGAGGAATAGTATTAGCTGTCAAGAGAGTTCTTTTTTTTTTTTAGAGACAGAATCTCACTTGGTAGGGTGCTGTGGTGTCATAGCTCACAGCAACCTCCAGCTCTTGGGCTTAGGTGATTCTCTTGCCTCAGCCTCCCGAGTAGCTGGGACTACAGGTGCCCCCAACAACACCCGGCTATTTTTTGTTGCAGTTTGGCTGGGGCCGGGTTTGAACCTGCCACCCTCAGTATATGGGGCTGACGCCCTACTCACTGAGCCACAGGTGCCGCCCTGAGTTTGTTTTGTTTCTTAAATGGAAGAAATCAACATAATGTTTGTAAGCTATATGCCATTTACTATTTTCAGTGTTATAATGCTCTTGCAATAGCTTGAGGATTTGAACATGAACTATCTTATTTCATTCTCAGGACAAGTGCTTGAGGTAGGTTCTATTATTATCCTTGTTTTACGGTTTATAGAAGCTGAAACTGTAACTTAACAGTCACATACCAATGGGGGTACCTTTGCTTTCACATGTCCCTGACGCCCTCCATTGGTATGTGAAGAAACTCGTCAGCTTGCCTAAAGACATACAGCTCAGAGAGGCAGAGTGAGATCTGAACTCGAGACAGACAGCTCTGAGCATGACACTACACTACACTACACTATATGAGCCACATGAAGCTCTCCAGGCTCCCTCTGAATGTGGGATGAAGGATGAGGCTGGAGGAAGAGCAGGTCCAGGGAAGCCACATTGTTTTGATAGAATAGAGGGACTAGGAAAAGCACAGGGCATATGTGGTCATGCAAGAAAAGCACATCAGGCAACCTTATTTAATTTCCCCCAAATCCTTGAGCTCATTAAACTCTGAGGAGGCTGGGCATGGTGACTATTGCCTATAATCCTAGTACTTTGGGAGGATGAGGTAGGGGGATCACTTGGGGCCAGTTCAAGACCACCCCGAGCAATATAATGTAAGTTCTCCATCTCTACAAAAAAATAGAAAAATTGGGCAGATATGGTGGTGTACACCTGTAGTCCCAGCTATTAGAGATGTTGAGGTGGGAGAATTCCTTGAGCACATGAGTTAAAAGCTGCACTGAACTATGATCGCACCACTGCACTCCAACCCAGGGTGACAGAGTAAGACTCTATCTCAAAACCAAACCAAACCCTGAGGAGATCAACATTAGAATACACCGATCTTGGCTTTGTAGAATAGCTTTGAGCTTTTCAAAAGAAGCCCTTCAAGTCCATTTTAGATGTCTTCCTAGCTCCTGTTGCTCAGGGATGCTATTCCTGGTTCTATTGGCACTGAGAAAGGTAGGGGTCCCAAGGCTTCCAAAAGCAACAGAGGAGACTCAGCAAGACACTAAGCAAGAATTAGTAAATACAACTACGCATGGAGTGCATAGTAGGTGATCTGTTCTAAAGACACACAGCAGATTTTATTTTCATAGACCTCTTATTTAGCTGCACACAGATATTAACCACATTAGAAAGGGGTAGAGAGAGAAAAAATATGAAAAAATTAAGGTAAATTCCCAAGGCAGGTATGGCTTCTAGAAGATAAGTAAGCAGAGTCCAGAGGGGGGTCAGATCCGGGTAGGCAGGATGCTCTGAAAAGGTGTATGAAGGAGATGCATCTGAATAGAAGAGGGAAGAAATCCCCAAAGGGGAAGACAGCAGGAAAGGCAGAGAGGCAGGAAAACTGAAAAACCCTCTATCTCACCCCTCCCCTGGGAGGCCCCGATAGCACCAGTTTGCATACTGATATTTAAACCAAACACATGACTAGGTAGGTAAATTTAAACAATCACCAGCTTTTCATGGCTTTTCACACCTACTCGAAGACTGAGTCACCTTTACCTATAATGACTTTGCCCTCGACTAGAAGTCTAATCTGGCCTAGGGGACTCCCTGGCTTATACACGGTTTAAGTTCTGAAAAAAAAAAGGGTAAGTCAATCAATCTTGCTAATAGAGAGCTGCCTCTAGCTTTTACAACTGGCGGATCTCATGGACACCAAGCTCAGTCTTCCTGACCTGTAATCCCGCTCGATTAAGGTTCCTTAGATATTGCTAGGGCTTTGTGAAGACTTTGGAAAACAACAGCAGAATATTTGTATTGAGAAGCACAAAAAGTGAGCTCTGAAAACTCCCTGGTATGAAGAATAACTTACAAGGTTGCACTATTCAGGGAATATTTTGAGATCGGCTAACTCGGTTGGCATCCCTTTAAGGACAAAATTGTAATCTTATCTCAGAAAATTCCTTGCTGGCTGTGGTCTTGGGTGTGTTGACATTATTTCTGAGCTGTTTGGTATGGGTCAAACTTCTGTTCTCAGAGGCCTGGGTGATAAACATCTCCAGAGCCCTGGGAGGGCTGCTCTGCTATCTTCTGTTGATAAGCTTACAGTAGCTTTTCATTCACCAGGTCCCTGTGATGCCATGTGGCTCTACTGAATTCAAGCCTCCCAAACTTAGATTTATCTGCTGGCTCATATTATGTCAACAGTACTACAAACATAACCATATTAACTATTCTGTAAATGTCTTAAGGCAAGACAGATGACTCTAAAATTTTTGTTCCCCAGCAAAATATAGCATGGTTTTGAGACTCACACGTGCAAGTTTTGAAGGACAATTCTTCTTCCCCTGTTGTGATCTGCTTCTGCTTTTGTGCTTTCTGTGCAAATCAATGGCAAGTGTGCAAAGTATAAATTAAAAATCCAGAGTGTTCTCAATTTTTTTTTTCAAGTTTATTCTATGTAGACAAATGGAGCCATTCAACCATGGCCCAAATCCAAGTGTTGGAAGTAATACAATTCAATATCTTTCCAGAGATAACAGTTAAGTGACTGATTTGGAACAGGACAACCATAATACTGTTTTGTCATCATTTGATCCCAAGTCCAGGTAGGTGTTATTTATTATGATTCCTACCTTACGATTCATACAATGAAAGTGTTTCAGGAAACTGAGATTCATGGTAAGTGGCAGAGGCAAGACTTAAACCCGGACTGGATCCCACTGCACATATATATATTTAATCTTATTTCTACATCTATGTTCATTCCATGTATTTCTTTAGTCTTTCCAATTATTGTAAAAAGGAGCATCAAATTGAGAAATCTATTCAACATTTCAAACATAAATTTATATGTAATTCATATGAATTACAAAAATTTCTGCTGAAGACAATCTCAGAGTTTTCCTCACTAATTTTATAAATAAGACAATGATGATTTACATATGGGAAAGCCCCTGTCACAAGTTAGTAACAAAACTAGTACTACTCCTCTCCTCAAACTCCTGAGCTCTCTAAACCAGTGCATTTTCTTTGGCTCT